GAAGGTGCGTAAGTCGGGAATCCTCCGCATCTCGGGGGGCAATTTGTTCCAGAGGGCAGGAGCCCCCACAGAGAAGGCTCTCCCCCTGGGGGTCGCCAGCCGACATTGTTTGGCCGACGGCACCCGGAGGAGCCCCTCTCTGTGGGAGCGAATTGGCCAGTGGGAGGCTATTGGTAGCAGAAGGCGGTCTTGTAAATACCCAGGTCCTAAACCATGGAGTGCTCTGAAGGTGGTAACCAATACCTTGAATCGCACCTGGAGGACCACCGGAAGCCAGTGCAGCTCGCGCAGGAAAGGTGTTACATGGGAGCGCCATGATGCACCCATAATCATCTGCGCAGCCGCTTTCTGGACCAGTTGGAGCCTCCGGGTGCTCTTCAAGGGGAGCCCCATGTAGAGAGCATTACAGTAGTCCAGGCGGGAAGTGACAAGGGCATGAGTGACCATGCGTAGGGAGTCCCGATCCAGAAAGGGACGCAACTGGCCGATCAGACGAACCTGATAGAAAGCCCCCCTGGCCACGGCCGTCAGAATAGAAGGGGCGAGAGCACCAAGTCTTGTGGCATCTCACAAAGGATGGCCTCTTCCTCCCCCCCAGTTTTGTGGCAGAGAACCACCACAAAATAGTTCTCCCAGTTCCCATGTCCAAGAAGGCTATCATAGTTGACAGCATCAAAAGATGGTGAGAGATTAAGAAGAACAAGGAAAAATACACCATCTCCAGCTTGGTTTTCCCACAGGTCAACCTCAAGCACAACCAAGGTTGTTGCCACACGGAATCCTACCCTAAATCCTGCCTGAAACAGACCAAAAATAATCTGCTTCCTCCGGGGCTCTCAGCAGCTTCAGGCTGACCACTTTCTCAACAACTTCCCTTAAAAAGTAACCTAATCCTCACATTCTGTGTCTTACTACATGTTGGGCCTGCCTCAACTTAAACCTTAAGTAAAAAGGATCCTTGACTCCATTTGTTGAGAAAGGTATCTAAGGTCACATGAAATACAGTCGAGCAAAGCCAGAACTGAAAACCGCACACTAAAATCCCCCAAGTGTAATTCTCTCTTTCTTAGGTGCTTCCAATTGCTTACTCCTTGTCCAATCAAATTCAAAGAAGATGTTTTCGGAACGGTCACTTGAAATTCCTAGCTGTCTGACCTTGAATCTATGTCTCTGGCAGATACAGTGAACTGTTACCCCCACCCCCGAATTCTCCTCCCTCTCCTCTTCTCCCCAGAGTTCATGGCAGACTGGCACTTAGCGAAGTGCAAGCGTGAGGTGGCAGTTCTGACACTATAGTTCATTTTGTGATAGCCTTGATTGTTCTAAGCCATGACAGAAGTCAGCATGTATGGCAGGGGGATCAAACTTCATTTCATTGAGGGCTGCTTCAGGGTTGTGTTTGCCCTCGGGGGTGGGAGGAGTGGCCAGGGTGGCTGTGGCCAGCTCAACGTCACTCAGGGGTACCTGGGGTGGCCCGAGCGCTCTGCTAGTGAAAATCTGCAGCCCTCCCAAGCTCCGTTTTCGCTGGCAGAGGGTTGCAGGAGGCCGGTCGCAGCCGAAAATGGAGCTCAGGAGGGCCATGTGCAGCCCTCCCAAGCTCCATTTTCTCTGGCAGAGGCATTGCGGGCCAGTCCTTCGCTGTTTCCAGGGCGGCCCCGCTGTCCAGATCTAAGCACCCCGCGGGCCGGATCCTTGAATTGGACACCCCTGATCAATGGGATCATCTCATTTCCTTTCTGCCTTTTTGCAAAATGTTGCTTATCTCAAAAGGGACTAGCATTTATTTATTATTTATCTATTAATCAAATTTCTATACCGCCCTACTCCCGGAGGACTCAGGGCGGTGAACAGCCAAGATAAAATACAGATAATACAAATATTAAAAGTCCCTTAAAATTATTAAATATTTTGGCCGAAACACAGATTAAAACACCCAATTTATAAAATCAAACGAGTTAAAAATTTAAAAGAGGAGAGTTAGGCCAGGCCAGCCTGCTGAAATAAAAAATTTTTGAGAGCACGACGAAACGTGCGCAGATCCAGGATCCTCCGTATCTCATGATGGATATATAGTAATACCTAAGCTGGGCTCTTGTGTGTCAAAACATTCTTGAGTTTCTCAGTTAAGCCGGAATGTTCTTGTTTTCTTTTCAGAGTGCCGTGTCCTTCCAGGAGGTAGCAGTGTGTTTCACAAAGGAAGAGTGGGCTCTGCTGGATTCCATGCAGAAATCCCTCCATGGGGAAGTCATGATGGAAAATTCTAGAAACGTGACTTCTCTGGGTAAGGACCCTTACTTCTCTGAGTTCATAGTGGAATTGAAAGCAAGTAAGAACTAATCAAGTCCCTACATAGTCATTTGTCCCTGAAAATCCCCCACCCCCTTTTCCTTTTTCAGGATCTCATCATTTCCATCCAAGCATGCCTTTCTTTTCCTCTCAGCTAGCCCTTTGTCTTTCATATATTTGCATTTGGATCCATGTTCCTTCTCCCCCTTTTGTATTCAGTTGACATTCTTTGAAAATCCTGGTAGTCTCTATTCCCATTAATTTATTTATTACATGTATTTATATGCCGCCATTCTCCCGAAGGACTCAGGACGGCGAACACAAGTTAAGAAACAAGTACAATAAAATCATAATTTAATCCAAATAATTAATTAATAGTAAATAATAAAACCCGGAATCAGAGTCAGCCTATTTGTTTGAAAAGCCAAGTCTTCAAGTCCCGACGGAAGGAACTTGATATGATATGGTGAGCCATATAATCAGTGCAAAGTTGCCAAACAGATGATTGTTGTACAAGCAGAAGATTCAGGGATGAGAATACAGACCCAACAGTCACAGAAAATACATTTTCACTCTTCTCCATCAAATTACATCAAATTCACCGTTACCGATGAACATCGAAGGCCCTTTTTCACCAGAAGTTACTTTTAGATTTGCACCATAATCCCCTGCCCTCTGTTCCCCGGGAGATCTTGCAGAACATATATCATATTTTTTGGAGTATAAGACATACTTTTTTCCCTCCTAAAAGAAGCTGAAAATTTGGGTGCTTCTTATATTCTGAATATAGCTTTTTTGAAGCTTTATTTCAGCCCTAACGAGGCGCTAGAGATCTCCCTGCTAAGATTTTTTTTCAGTGAGGCAATCGTGCTTCCTCCAACTCTCAGCTGTGAAGCTTTTTTTCAGCCCAACTCTCAGCTGTGAAGTTTTTTTTCCAGCCCTAAGGAGGCGCTAGCAAGTGAAGCGATCTCCGTGGTTTGCCTGCTTTTCTCTCCAAAGATCAGTTGTGCTTTAGAAGCTGTTTTTTTTCCCCAAGCAGGAGATAAAAAACAGCAAACTAATGTGTTGAAGCCGACCAGACTAAGGAGCTAGCCGGATAAACACCTGATAGGCAGATTTTTTTTCCTATTTTCCTCCCCAAAAACTAAGCTGCGTCTTATACTCCAGTGCGTCTTATACTCTGGAAAATATGATAACTTTATTGATGATGTACATACCTATCCAACATACATACATTGTGGTTCTAATGTCCTGAGTTTTCAAATTATGGAAAAAAAAAAACCTTTCCTGATTCTTTTGACAATAATGATGGATAAATATTTCCCCTAGCCAATTCAGCCTCCCTAAGATGCAACAGTTTCATGTTCTATTGATTGGCTTCAGCTGGCTAAAATCTAAAATCCTAATGGTTTTAGGCAACATCTCAATCCTTTTAACTACAACATATTTTCATTACTACCTTTTTCTTCCTTCTTCTATTTTGTTCTTTCTTTCTTTCTTTCTTTCTTTCTTTCTTTCTTTCTTTCTTTCTTTCTTTCTTTCTTTCTTTCTCTTTCTTTCTTTCTTTCTCTTTCTTTCTTTCTTTCTTTCTTTCTCTTTCTTTCTTTCTTTCTCTCTCTCTCTCTCTCTCTCTCTCTCTCTCTCTCTCTCTCTCTCTCTCTTTCTTTCTTTCTTACCAGTTCATCAAATCAGTCGGAAAAACTACAGCAAAGAAATAACATCCGAAATAGTTGTGTAAGCACAATTTAATACAGTGGTACCTTGGTATTCATCGTTAATTGGTTCCAGGAGGCATGATGAGTACCAAAAACGATGAGTACAAAACATTTTTTCCATGAATTAATGTAGTGAGTCATGGCAGCTGACAAGGGCAAGTTCCAGTGTGTGTTTTGAGTACCAAACAAACAGTGAGTAGCGGGACAAAATGTTGGTGTCAAAATGCATTGAGCACCAAATTTGATGAGTTTCAAAGCAGTTGAGTACCAAGGTACCATTGTATAAGTTTTAACAATGAAAAAAGAGAATCTTGCAGATGCTGATCAACTCCCATTAGAAGTAGCTGATTTAACTAATGGAAGTTGATTTTCAGTGCCCCACCTAGTTCCTGTGTGAAAGGTCTTAGAAGATTTACACTTCTTTTTTATATCTCTCTCTTTTTCTTTTCCTCACTCATTCCCCCCATAGAAGGAGATGAGCAGGAAACTGTGAATGATCAGAAACTAGATATAGCGATGTCAGAAACATTGGAGGAGGAACTGGGACAGGAGACTTCTGAATATCAGTGGAGCTCAAAGATACACGAGGAATACCACCTTCAGTATATGGGAGATAACTCACCCCCTTCCCAGTGTGCGGAAGCCCTTGAATCCTCAATTCAACAGGAAGACATGGAAAACAGAACTAACTCTTGGCTACTACATAGGACAATATTAAAAAATAACTTGGACTTAGATAATCAATGTACAACTGAGACTGAATACAACCATGACGAAGGCACAAACTCTGAATTGTCTTGCAGGCAAACCTTCCCTTCTCCTTCGTATCAAGAAATCCACATTGGGGAGAATTCCTATAAATGCACGGAGTCTGGAAAGGAGCTCAGTGAGCCCAGTAACCTTGCTTCCCGTAAAACAATACAAAAAGGCAAAAGAGCGCATAAATATCTAGAGCATGGAAAAAAGAACTTCAAGCAGAGTAGTCTGCTTAATGCCCAGACAAAGCTTCACAATGAGAAGCCCTATCAATGCAAGGAGTGTGGAAAGAGCTTCAGGAGCAGCAGTCACCTAACTTCCCATCATAGGATCCACACAGGAGAAAAACCTTACAAATGTATAGAGTGTGGAAAGAGCTTTAGGCAACGCAGTCATCTTATTTCTCACCGAAGGATCCACTCGGGTGAAAAACCATATACGTGCATAGAGTGTGGAGAGAGCTTCAGGTTGAGCAGTCAGCTGACATATCACATGTGGAACCACACGGGGGAGAAGCCATATAGTTGCGCGGAATGCGGAAAAAGTTTCAGCAATGTCAGTTCGCTCACGTGCCATAAAACTATACATACAGGAGAGAAACGATATAAATGCACAGAGTGTGGGAAAAGGTTCCGGAACAGCAGCCATCTTACTTCCCATAAAAGGATCCATACAGGGGAGAAACCATATAAATGCGCGGAGTGCGGGAAGTGCTTCAGAGACAGCTCGGCCCTGGTGTCTCATAGAACCATCCATACAGGAGAGAAGCCATACAAATGTACGGAGTGTGGAAAGAGTTTCAGCCAGGGATATTCTCTTACGACCCATCAGATGATCCATTCGGGGGAGAGACCATACAAATGTATGCAGTGTGGAAAAAGCTTCAAATGGAATAGTCACCTTACGGCCCATCAAAGGATCCACACGGGAGAAAAACCGTATAAATGTGTGCAGTGTGGAAAGAGCTTCAAAAACAGGAGTAACCTCACCAGCCATAAAAGGATCCATACAGGAGAAAAACCGTATAAATGTACGGAGTGTGGAAAGTGTTTCAGAGGCAGCTCCGCCCTTATTTGCCATAAAACAATCCACACGGGAGAAAAACCGTATAAATGTATTGAATGCGGCAAGAGCTTCAGCAGAGGCAGTTCCCTTACTTTCCATAAAAGGATTCACACGGGAGAGAAACCCTATCAGTGTCTGGAGTGTGGAAAGAGCTTCAACCAGAGTAATTCTCTTATTTTCCATAGTAGTGTCCATACGGGGGAGAAACCATTTAAATGTACAGAGTGTGGAAAGAGCTTCAGCAAAGAAGGTTGCTTTATTTCCCATAAAAGGATCCACACGGGGGAGAAACCCTACCAATGTATGGAGTGTGGAAAGACATTCCGATTGAACAGTCAGCTGACATCTCATCAAAGGATCCACACGGGAGAAAAACCATATCACTGTACGGAGTGTGGAAAGACATTCCGATTAAGCAGTGATCTCACTTCCCACAAAAGGATCCACACAGGAGAGAAACCGTATGAATGCATGGGATGCGGAAAGAGCTTCAAGCGGAGCAGTGACCTTACTTCCCATAAAAGGATCCATACTGGAGAAAGACCATACCAGTGTATGGAGTGTGGAAAGACCTTCACAATGCGATCGTCCCTAACGTCTCACAAAAGGATCCACACAGGGGAGAAACCATTTCAGTGCACAGAGTGCGGAAAGAGCTTCCGTGAAAATGGATCTCTCACGATTCATAAGAGGATCCACACCGGAGAGAAACCGTATCAATGTATGGAGTGTGGAATGAGTTTCAGGTTACGCAGTCAGCTTGCGTCTCATAAGAGTATGCACAGGAGTTTATCCGTAGAGCCTGGATTGTAGGAGGAAAAATGGCATTGATTAGAACAGGCAAAACCAGGGGCAAAATTAACCCTCTCTACTCAGCCATAGAAGGCCCAGGAGTATAGAGATACCGAGAGGTGAGCAAAGGCTTTAGGAAGCAAAGCCCGTATATGACAAGCCATAAAAATATCCTTAGAAACTTACTATGTTCACATAATACATTGTTCACTCAAATACATTATTATTTTTGTAACTCTGTTCCATTGCCCCACGGATTCCATATCTGACTTCACTAACCAAGGCACCCATCACATACATGCTTAATTCAATTATTTTTGACAATCGTTATGTATATTCTAGTTTGTGTAAGTGTATAAGGAGAGATTTCCTCCCTGTTTAGATTTTGCTTCTGCTGTCTGTAGTACTATAATAAATATATTCTTTGGTGGACAATGTTCTAGTTTCGCTTTTGAATAAAATCTTGGGATAGTTTGTGAGAGAATCTAATCTTAGAGGGAAAAGATTCAATTATGTTTCCTGCTTGTAGTAACATGGGCATTGAAAGTATAGGACAGTGATGGCTAACCTTTTTGCCATCGCATGCCAAAAGTGGGAGCACAGTGGGGTCACACACACATCCAAATTCTATGCACCCCTCGCGCGTGTGCTCCCCCCGCTTTTGGCATGCGATGGCACCGTGGGCCCAGGAGGCATGTTTTTCACTCTCCCCAGGATCCAGAGTCTTTCTAGGCACCTGGGGAGGGTGAAAACGGCCTTCCCTACCCACCCATCCCCCGAGGCCCTCCGGAGGCTGGAAACAGTGTGTTTCCTAACTTCTGGTGGACCCAGAAGGCCTGAAAATCAGCTGACCAGCGCACGTATGTGTGCCAAAGCTGAGTTCGCGTCCCCACTGATATGGCTCCACATGCTACCTGTGGCACTCGTGCCATAGGTTCACCATCATGGGTATAGGAACAAATGTAGGAGAATATTTGTAACTCGGGGTCAAAATGATGGGTCCCTGAAGCTCTTTGAGCTTGGTTGTTTTCTTGCAAACATTTCATTATCAAACTAGGTAACATCATCAGTGCTGGGTATAACAGCAGTTAATAGTATAGTATAGGGACAGTTATTGTTCCTCAATGAATCCATTAGGAAACAAACTAGGTTTGTAACTTTCTGGAGGAATCTGGAACTTTATTTTCATTGGACCACAATGATCTGACCATTTCAAGGGTGACCCACCGGTGTACCGAAATAAACAACTCAGTGCTTCTTTCTGGCAAAGCTATATTGATTTGAGAATTCATTAACAACCTAACTCAAGGGAGACATCACGAGATTTATAGTTTGCATGAATAGAATAGAATAACGGAGTTGGAAGGGACCTTGGAGGTCTTCTAGTCCAACCCCCTGCTTAGGCAGGAAACCCTACACCACTTCAGACAAATGGTTATCCAACATCTTCTTTAAAACTTCCAGTGTTGGAGAATTCACGACTTCTGGAGGCAAGTTGTTCCACTGATTAATTGTTCTCACTGTCAGGAAATTTCTCCTTACTTCTAAGTTGTTTCTCTCCTTGATTAGTTTCCACCCGTTGCTTCTTGTCCTGCCCTCAGGTGCTTTGGAGAATACCTTGACTCCCTCTTTGTGGCAGCCGCTAAGATATTGGAAGACTGCCATCATGTCTCCCCTAGTCCTTCTTTTCATTAAACTAGACACACCCAGTTCCTGCAACCGTTTTTCATAAACTGCCCGCAGTGTGAAGTTTTTTTTGGGGGGGGGGTGTTTAAATTTGATTTATATGCCGCCCTTCTCCGAAGACTCAGGGCGGCTTACAATGTGCTCAGCAATAGCCTTCATTCTTTTGTATATTTTATACAAAGTCAGCTTATTGCCCCCACAAACCGGGTCCTCATTTCACCTACCTTAGAAAGGATGGAAGGCTGAGTCAACCTTGAGCCTTGGCGAGATTCGAACCCTGCAGTAATTGCAGGCAGCTGGTCTTAATAACCAGCTTAATAACAGGGTGCCTTAAACCCCTGTACTACCAAGGCTCTTGAAGTAAAGGAAGTAAATTTAAATGGATGGATTATTTATACAGCATTATAAATAATGGTTATAAATACAGGTTATCTGAGGGACCGTCTCCTGAATTTAATTTAATTTACTTTAAATGTAACTCTCATTTTTGGGCTTTGTTTATTCAGCCTAGTGATTTAAATTTCACTCTTTCTTTGGCTTTGTTCATTTGGCCTAGTTGTCAAGGCTGAGGTGACAGAAACCGGCCCCGGGCAGCCATCTTGCCCTCCCTCCGCCTTCCTTCCCTGCCTCCCTGTCCAGTGGTGTTATCTGATTGGCCACTGCTGCTGAGTGATTGGCAGCTGTGTCGTCATGGAGACAGGCTAAGACAGAAGGAGTGGCAGAAGTCCAGCAGGGTTTTGTGAGCCGCTCAAACGGTTGGGCTCCAGGGGGCGTTCAGGGTCCTTTCTGGGGACAGGTTGCCTAAAGTCTCTGTCCCTGCCTGGAAGTCACCTGCGAGGGGACCTTGAACCCTGTTGCTCCTCTCCTTGCATTTCCCTCTGGGACAAGGGGACGGACTTGGGCCTCGAAGGGACACCAGGAGAAGTCAAAACTCCAGAAGAGACATCCTGAAGGCTGTCGGGGGAAGTCCATCAAGCCAAGTGCTACACCAGCCTTGGGATTATCTGGTGGTGACCTATGCAGCAAGACAGAATTTTCCCCCTCTGCTCACATCCCTACAGAGCTGCCCGGCAGCCTTTTTCAAAATGGCTTCTGCATGTTGGAGAGAGAGTTCAGTCCTGGGATTGTCTGCAGGGCTGTTGTGAGGAATATGGAGACCCAGTTTAATCTGTGTCAGAACAGAGCTGGAAGGAACCTTGGAGGTCTTCCTAGTCCAACCCCCTGCTCATTTAAAGGTAAAGGTTCCCCTCGCATATGCTAGTTGTTCCTGACTCTAGGGGGCGGTGCTCATCTCCATTTCAAAGCTGAAGAGCCAGCGCTGTCCGAAGACGTCTCTGTGGTCATGTGGCCGGCATGACTAAACGCCAAAGTTTAGTTTAGTTTATTTGATTTGTATACTGCCCTACTCCCGAAGGACTCAGGGCGGTGAACAGCCAAACAATAAAATACATAGATACAAAAAATTTAAAAACCAGATAAAATCAAAGGCGCACGGAACACTGTTACCTTCCCACCAAAGGTGGTCCCTATTTCTCTACTTGCATTTTTTACATGCTTTCGAACTGCTAGGTTGGCAGAAGCTGGGACAAGTAACGGGAGTTCACCCCGTTACACGGCACTAGGGATTCAAACCGCTGAACTGCCGACCTTTCGATCGACAAACTCAGCATCTTAGCACTGAGCCACCGCATCCCTTATCCCTGCTCATAAAGGACACCCTATACCAGTGATGGCAAAGCTTTTAGGCACCGAGTGCCCAAACTGTGTGCATGCGCATGCCCAAACTGAAAGGTGCATGCGTGGGCAAATGTGTGCATGCACAAATGTGCGCATGCAGACATGCACAAATCTGCATATGCACGGATATGCACAAATGTGCGCATGCGCAGCAGAGACATGAAGACCAGGTGGCTGGTGGGAGGCAGGGCATCCCAACTGGCAGTGCAGATAGAGGTAAGATCTTTTTCTTTCGTGAGCTTCTGTTTCGTTGTTTGCAGAGAAACAGAAGCTCACAAAAGAAATGCCACGGAGATCTGATCTGGGGCGACGGCACGCGTGCCAGCAGAGAGAGCTCTGCATGCCACCTCTGACACGTGTGCCATAGATTCGCCATCACGGCCCTATACCATTTCAGACAAGTGGCTGTCCAGTCTCTTTTTAAAAACCTCCGATGATGAAGCAACCATAACTTCTGGTGGCAAGCTGTTCCACTGGTTTATTGTTCTCACTGTTAGGAAGTTTCTCCTTAATTCCAGGTTGCTTCTCTCCATTAGTTTCGTGTCCTGCATTCTGGTGCTTTGAAAAATAAGGTGACCTCTCCTTCTTTGTGGCAGCCCCTCAAATATTGGAATACTGCTATCATGTCACCCCAAGTCCTTCATTTCACTAGACTAGCCAAACCCAAATCCTGGAACCGTTCTTCATCTGTTTTAGTCTCCAGGCCTTTAATTATCTTAGTTGCTCTTCTTTGCACTTTTCCTCAAGTCTCAACATCTTTTTAATAATGCAGTGACCAAAACTAGATGCAGTATTTGTTCTGCCCCAGCTACGGGCCCCAAAGAACGCAGCACACACAAAGTCCGTTCAAACCTTAGTTTACTAAATAAATCAGTTTTTTACAACAAAGGCTGTTAATTAACTGCATTAACAGCCGCCAAGAATTCAAAGAATAATACTGAAAGCTTACTGTGGTTGGCAGAGTGCCCAGAAGCAATTTGCAGGAAGCTGATAAGATAAGCAAGACAAGACAGGAAGGTATGTGAAGTTGTTCCCTGCAAATTGCTTCCTCCTTAAATAGGCTAAGGGAGCGGCCAATTAGCCCCAAGCCTTACTCTCAAGGAGACCTCCTCCTGAGGAGCCACTCCTGCCTTTTGGCAGCTCTGCGCACCTGTGCATTGAGAAGAGGTTCCTCCCCTTCGTCCTCTTCACTTAAGGGAGCTTCTGGAGGTTCTGAAGGCCCTGGCTGAATCCCCACCTCTGGTACATCTTCTCCAGCCTCCTCATTGTCTGACTCAAGTGCCAGCTGCACAGGCTGCTGGCACAGCACCACACCCGCCTCCTCACTGTCGGAATCAGCTATTAGCTGCACAGACCGCTGACGGGCCACAACAGTATTCCAGGTGTGGCCTTACTAAGGGTTTATAAAGTGGTACTAATACTTCATATGGTTAAGGCACCATGCTAGAAAGAGGGAGACCGTGAGTTCAGAGGAGCTCCGGTGGCTCAGCAGACTAATTAACATCCACTTACATCTGCTGCCTGCAATTACTGCAAGTTCAAATCTCACTAGGCTCAAGGTTGACTCAGCCTTCCATCCTTTCTAAGGTAGGTAAAATGAGGACCCAGATTATGGGGGCAATAAGATGACTTTGTATAAATATACAAAAGTATGAAGGCTATTGCTTGACGCATTGTAAGCCGCCCTGAGTCTCCAGAGAAGGGCAGCATATAAATCAAATTAAAAAAAAAAAAGTCCTGCCTTAGCCATGAAAGCTTGATGGACTGCTGTTCCAATATTTTGGGTAAGGCAGAATTCAGAGTTTCTATTGTGACTCCTACACTCCTACATTTCATGAAGAAATGCAGGAATTTATATCCAAGGCTTCGAACAAAGAGTTGGGCCAGCCGAACTGAGGCAGAGGAGCAGCAGCCTTGGAGATGGGGTTAATTTCCTTTCTGAAAATAATCAAAGCAAAAGGTTTTTTTGGGTCAAGTGCTGACTCCAGATCTCCAAATATAGACATTGCCTTGAAGCACGTCAGGCGTTGGAGGCAGAGTGTGCTGTCAAGTAAACCAAATAGAGGAGGCGGTGAAGCTAACTATGGACAATTTAGAAATAACCCGTAGAAGAAAATATTTGTAACTTAGAGCTCTGCATATGGTGTGTGTGTGTGTGTGTGTGTGTGTGTGTGTGTGTGTATGTCCTTCGTGCTCCCTGAGCTGGGTTGACTTCCTGCAGACGTTTCATTACCAAACTAGGTAACACGATCCGTGCCCTGATGCTACTGCCTTGTTTGGTAATGAAATGCCTGCATGATGTTACCTATTTTGGGATAAGGAAACATCTGCAGGAAAACAACCCAGCTCAGAGAGCCCCCAAGGAGCCCACCGAGATAAACATTCCCCCCCTCCCCCAGCAGCTCCTTTAACTCTTTGTCCGCAAGTCCCAGGAAAGGAAGGAGAGATGAAAGAAAGCCACCCCGGTTTCCTGGTTGCACAATCCGCTGAAATGCCTTTGCTGACATCCCAAGCCAATGATTTCACCATAAGCATCAGGACGTATGAGGTGGAAGGTGGGGAGGGCTGGGTCTCCATCTTTTCTGAAGATCCGCACAACCTCAGGCACCCCAAGACCGCCAGTGATGTGGGAAGAATGCCCATCATCTGGGCCCCGACTTCTCCCCTCCGCCAAAGAAAGGCCCCTCTGGGGTCTGCCTGTTTCCTCTCCCCTCCCCATTTCTTTGCCTCCAGTCCCAGCTCAAGAAAAGGGGGCTCCAGCAGTACAAGACTCTTACAGCTCCTTAGACATCTTTCGAGGCTCACTTGCAGTTTCCAGGGTACCACGTCCCGCCAGCAGCTCCCGCCTTCCATGAGCCCCCCCCAGACCCCCACACAAGGGAGGGAAGAACTCCCCCAGTGTAGCCCCCGCCCTTTCTGGGTCTGCAGGCAAGTGGAAGATCCCTCCCCCCCGTGGAAAGACAAGGGCTTTGCCTTTGCCCCATATGGGGGCTACAGACAGCCCCTCCCCCGCATGCCTACAACCTCCTCCTCCTGGGCCAACTCCAGGTTTAAGGCTAGAGAGCGCCAGCCAGCCCCTTGAAAAGCAAAACTCTTGGCAAGGACCCCCTCCTACCCCCCCTCCTCAAACAATCACAGACCCCGCCACTCCCACATCAAAGCTGCCCCCCCACCCCCACGCAAGCTCAGTGTGGGGGGTGCAGTGGCACCTCTGGTCTTTTCCTACAGCACCTCCGCGGGTGCCTGGCTGGATGCGGAAGCGATTCCAGCGTAGCTTCCCCCCCTGCCCCACCGACTCTTAAACAAAACCCAGCATGAGCGACTGGAGGGGACGGGGGGGGGGGACGGACAAGGTGAGACCCCTAGACCAGTGGTGGGATTCAGCCGGTTCGCACCACTTTGGGAGAACCGTTCGTTAACTTTCTGAGCAGTTTGGCAAACTGGTTGTTGGAAGAAATCATTAGGTTAGAGAACCGGTTGTTTAATTACTTGAATCCCGCCACTGCCCTAGACCCGTAACCCTAACAAAGAGCGATGTGGTGGTACCCGCTTGTAAGACGCAGGATGCAGTCCGGACTCAGCGCATTTGGGGAGGGGGGCTGTTCAGAAAGCCAGGCACCCCCTCTGCCTTGCTTGAAAGGAAACCCCCTCCCTTTTTGTTTCCAGGGGAGAAGACCGCTCTACCTGCAGTCCCGGGTGGGGAGGGGCTGCTGGGGGAAGCTTCCCCTCCCTTGCTTGAGGGGGGATGTGTCTGGAGACTCTTGAGGGGGGACCACTGGAGCTGCAGGGGAGTCATTTCTGGTTTGGGAACTTGGGAAGCAAGTAAGAAAGTCTTTGGAAGGGGCACTGGGAAGGGAGAACCCCGCCACTTCCTCCCTCCCCTGAAATGAGACCCTCCAGATGGGTGCCCCAGGTTCTAGTGTTACAAGAGAGGAGGAGAGTAGGGAGGGCTCTTTTCATTGAGGGGGAGGAGGAAAGGGGAAGCAGACCGGTAAAATGCTAATTTCCTAAGCAGGAGACCCTACACCACTTCCGACAGATGGCAGTCCAGTCTCTTCTTGAAAGCTTCCACAACTTCTGAAGGCAACTTCTGTTCCATTGGTGGATTTTTTCCAGGTTGAATCTCTCCTTGATCAGTTTCCATCCCTTATTCGTCTGTGGAAAATAGCTTGGTCACCTCCTCTCTGTGGCAGCCCCTCAGATATTGAAACGCGGGTATCGTGTCTCCCCTGGTTCTTCTCTTCACCAGACTAGCCAGGCCCAGCTCCTACAAACATTCACATGTTTTAGCCTCCAGTCCCCTCATCATCTCGGTTGCTCTTCTCTGCACCTTCTTCAGCTTATCTGAGCTCATAGTGCACTGCAGTACCCTCCCCCAACTTGTGCAAAGCCTGTGTTGGTCTCTCCCACCCATTACAGTACCCCCTCCCCAACTCCTTACCTGGAGCCATTCTGCTTCCTGCTTAACCCACACGTCTTGAGGTTACAACCAGGACAGCCTGGATTGCTATTGCTACAATACCTGGTCATGTGATGTCAGACTTTATGACTGCATCACTTAGCAATAGCAACCCCACTGTTATGGGGCAATGTGCCCCTTGAAGAGCACCCGGAGACTTCAGCTGATCCAGAATGCGGCCGCACGGGTAGTGACGGGAGCTACATGGCGCTCCCACATAACACCCCTCCTGCATGAGCTGCACTGGCTCCCAGTGGTCTTTCGGGTGCGGTTCAAGGTGTTGGTCATCACCTTTAAAGCGCTCCATGGCATAGGACCTAGATACCTTTGAGACCGTCGGCTGCCACCAATGACCTCCCACCGACCAATGCGTTCCCACAGAGAGGGCCTCCTCAGGGTGCCATCGGCCAAGCAATGTAGACTGGTGGCCCCCAGGGGGAGGGCATTCTCTGTGGGGGCACCTGCTCTCTGGAATCAGCTGCCCCCAGAGATACGAAGAATTCAAGACCTCGGTGCCTTCCACCATGCCCTGAAGACCTTCCTTTTTCAGCCAGCCGGGCTGGCTTAATGCTTTTTAAATGTTTTTAATAAGTTTTGCTATTGTTTTTTAACTTTGGGGCCAAATTTATATATTTCTTTTTAAATTGTTTTTAATGTTTGTATTCATGTTTTTTACTTTGGCTGTATACCGCCCTGAGTCCTTCGGGAGAAGGGCGGTCTATAAATTTAATAATAAATAAATAAATAAATTGTAACCCCACTTAACAAATGAAGTAATTTACTTAACAAAAAAAAGCTTGTAAAATCGGAAGCGACTCACTTAATACCCCCTTGCTTAGCAACAGAAAATCTGATCCCAATTGTGATCATGAGTAAAGGGCTACCTGTGTATGGTTTCTCCCTTGCTGATCTTTTTACTGGAAAGAGTGCATTCTTGTAGGGTTTATAAGTTGCCTTTGGTATGATTCATCTTTGAAGGAGATGGGCAATTTAGAAATATGAAACATAAAACAAATTAAGAAATAAAACTGGAACTCATTTCCACTTACACCAGGGGTCCCTAGCACGGGTGGGTTCTCAATTTTTTTACTACCGGTTCTGTGGCCGTGGCTTATTTTGTGGGCGTGGCTTGATGGTCATGTGACAATTCTTTAGGATTTGGCAGAGGTACTGGTCTACCAGGCTTTTAACTGCTTGCAGAGCTGTACCGGTCTACCCATTTGTTTTTGGAGGCACCGGTCTACCCATTTATTTTTGGAGGCACCGGTCTACCCATTTGTTTTTGGAGGCACCGGTCTACCACCACACTGCCTTTTAACACTGATCAGCTATAGGGCGGCCCTTTGAAGCCCCGCGGCAAGAGTTTAAACAGTTTTTTTCCTTCTAGCCGATCAGCTGGGACTCGGGAGGCAGCAATAGATTGGGGGTGGGGCCAAATAAAAGGTAAGAATAACGCGGGGGGGCGAGCTCCTGAACAAAGAGAACCAGTTCAGTGATGTCATATCGTCACCGCTACTGGCTCGGCCGAACCGGGAGGAACCCACCACTGGTCCCTAGCCCCCGAGCCGCAACCCACTACCAGGCTTTGAGCCATTCGAAACCGGGCCGTGGATGTGGCAGGCGAGCATGCACCCATGCATCCCCACTTATGCGAGTAGTGGGTGTGTGCGTGTGGGTGTGGTCCATTTGCCCAAGCAGTGGCTGCATGTGCCTGCCATTCATAGAAATGGAGCTGCACGCACACTTGCCCGCCATTCATGCGGAATCTCCTCCTCCCCGGTCCGCAAAGCCAGAAAGGTTGGGGAACTTCGTCTTACACGATTCCTTCAGAATGAATTCTTTTATGAGAAATAAGGTGGCTGTCCTGCCTGAATCTTTTCCCACACGTCATACACTGATAAAGAGTTTCTCCTTTGAATGGGTCCTTTGATAGGAAGTGAGGTTCCTGCATTGACTGAAGCTCCTTTCACGCATTGTGTATTTATAGGGCTTCTCGCCAGTGTGGCATCTCATATGACAGTCCTGGCTCATGCTCCTATTGAAGTTTTTTTCCACACTCCGGACATTTATAGGGCTTCTCTGTGGTATGGCTGCTTTTATGGACAGAGATTGCTGCATCAGCTGAAGCTCTTGTCACACTCTTTGCATTTGTAAGGTTTCTGCCCTGTGTGGATCTTCGTGTGGGCAGTGAGGCTACCAGAAGTGGTAAAGTTGTTTCCGCATTCGCCACATGTATAGGCTCTTTCCCCAGAATGAATCCTCTTATGAGTCGTAAGGTTATACTTCTGATTGAAGCTCTTCCCACATTCCATGCATTGATAAGGTCTCTCTCCCATGTGGAGCCTCTTGTGAATAGTAAGCGTGTAATTTTTACAGAAGCTCTTTCCGCACTCCGTGCATATATAGGACTTTTCTATGGAATGCATTTTTTTATGGGTACGAAAGACACCGCTGTCAATAAAACCCTGTCCGCACACAGTACATATATACGGAGTTTTGCCTGAATGGGAAGAAAGGTCACTGCCAAAACCGAAGGTCTTTCCACTCTCTGTGGATTTATACAAATTCTCCCACCCGTGGGTACTTTGATGAGATCTTAGTTGACTTTTCCACCGGAAGCTCTTTTCGCATTCTGTGCATTGATAGGGTTTCTCCTCTGAATGGACCCTTTTATGACTCCAGAGAGCACTGCAGACGCTAAAACTCTTGCCGCACTCTGTACATGTGTATGGTTTTTCTCCCGTGTGGATCCGGTTGTGCGAAGTCAGGGATCCGCTCGAACTGAAGCTCTTCCCACACTCCGTACACTGGTAGGGCTTCTCTCCCATGTGCCTCCTTGTGTGAAAAGTCAGGTTGCGGCTGTTGCTGAAGCTCTTCTCACACTGCAGACATTTGTACGGTTTCTCCGCGGTATGGACTCTTTTGTGTAGGGTAAGGTCACTGTTCAATCTAAACCTCTTTCCGCATGTCGCACATGGAAATGGTTTCTCCCCCGTATGGATTCTCATATGGGAGGTGAGTTCACTTGTCCACCTGAAACTGTTTCCACACTCAGCACATTTCCACGGTTTTTCTCTTGGGTGGAGTCTTTTAAGGGAGCTACTGCTCCTACTAAAGCTCTTTCCACGCCCTTTGAATGTCTCAGGTTTCTCTGCAGCCCTTGGGTGGGTTTGTTGACATGAAGTCAAAGCAAAGCTTTGGCTGGAGTAGGTTCCTTGCAGTTTGCACTCGCACTGGTTGTCTCTAATTTTAGTTTTGCGATGATTACATCTCTCGGACTGATCCCCAGGTATTTCCCCATGGGGTAGGGAATTTCCGTTTTGGTTTCCGGTGTGATCCCCTTGAGTCAGGAATTCGTGGACTTCAGCACAGTGGGAAGCAGGTGATTTCTTCTTCCTAGATGCTGACTTCTTTTCCCCAAATGTTCCTGATCTCCGACGGTTCTCAAAAATCTCATTTCCCACTTTGGCCCTGGTTGGCTGCGATGTCGCTGTATCCGACGGCTGCCAATTCTCACTGTTCTCATCTGCTTCTAGAGATAGAAACAAAGCATGAACTAGCTTTTAAGACTGGGCTTCCAAAGATTAATGCTGATTAGCTAATGAATTAATTCTGATGGGAATTTATCACAGCATCTTGCAAGATTTTTCATTTTCTGTATAGGGTTTTTTTTTTGATTATACAACTATCTCAGAAGTCATCTCTTGGCTGAACTGTTCCCCACTGAAGATATAACTATTTTTTTCTTTGCAAAAAAAAAAAAATGAAGCTTAAAACAAAGGAACAATAGAAAGGACAAACACTGTAATGAAATAGCGATGCAGAGAAGCCATAAATGTTGCTTACAATTCTGCAAAATTTTTATTTTAAGTACCTGGAACTGAGCAAACAAGGGCACTCTTTTCATTTTGGAGAGGCAAATCCTCCGAGGCAGTCATACTAAAATGGGCAGCTAAGTCTTATAGGAAGAGACAGAAGGAAGTCCATAGTTATCCTTGAGAAGATGATTAAAAGTTCAGTATAGCAATATAGGCAGTCCTCACTTAGTGATCCTAATTGACCCTGGCAAACAAAGTGCTTGTTAAGTGAAACATTACGTGACTGCAACTTGTGACCTCCTGCCAGTTGTCCCATTGACTGCCTTGTTGGAAGCCAGCTGGGAAGATTGCAAATGGCTAACACATGACCGTGGAACATGTCAACTGTCATATATGTGTGATGCTTCCCAAGTACCCAATTGTGATATGACCGTAGAGACATTGCAGCCATTGGAAAGGGTCCAACCCACTAGCAGTGACATGATAGCAATCTTCCAATATATGAGGGGCTGCCACAAAGAAGGGGGGGGGTCAACCTAGTCTCCAAAGCACCTGAAGGCAGGACAAGAAGTAAAGGACGGAAATGAATCAAGGAGAGAAGCAACCTAGAACTAAGGAGAACTTTCCTGACAGAACAATTAATCAATGGAACAACTTGCCTCCGGAAGTTGTGAATGCTCCAACACTGGAAGTTTTAGAGACTGGACAACCATTTGAAATGGTATAGTTTCCTGCCTAAGCAGGGGGTTGGACTAGAAGACCTCCAAGGTCCCTTCCAACTCTGTTATTCTATATTCTACCGGTATATTCTAACTAAACGGCCAAGGTTTTAGGGCTTTTGAGTCTATTGAATCCGAGTCTCTATTGGAGAGCCAAAAATATCCCCCATCACCTCCAGGGGTGGGTTCTAAATTTTTTTACTACTGGTTCTGTGGGCGTGGCTTATTGTGTGGGTGTGGTTTGATGGTCATGTGACAATTCTTTAGGATTTAGCAGAGGTACTGGTCTACCAGGCTTTTAACTGCTTGCAGAGCTGTACCGGTCTACTCATTTGTTTTTGGAGGCACCGGTCTACCCATTTGTTTTTCGAGCACACTGGTCTACCAACACACTGCCTTTTAACACTGATCAGCTGTAGGGCGGCCCATTGAAGCCCCGCGGCAAGAGTTTAAAGTTTTTTTCCTTCTAGCCGATCAGCTGGAACTCGGGAGGCAGCGAATAGATTGGGGGCGGGGCCAAATAAAAGGTAAGAATAACGCAGGGGGGCGGGAGGGCCCAGCTCCTGAACAAAGAGAACCGGTTTGGTGACGTCATATCGTCACTGTTACCGGCTCGGCCGAACTGGGCTGAACCGGAAGGAACCCACCACTGATCACCTCCCTGATTCCTTCCTATCACATTGTTTTTTTCCTCTTCTCTATACAGTAAGAGCACATTTCTGGGTAGTTATTTGTAGATTTGTACCCTAAATCATTTTGCTGCACTCACCTATAGATCTTGCAGGACATATTACGGAAGGGCATTTCCAAATTAAAACCCCATCAATCTATAAAGGTTCTTCTGACTCCTTTGCCAATAATATTGTATAATCTACAAGTCATGTTGGACTAATAGAGGCTTTATAGACTCAAAAGTGCCCTTCTTTGCTTAGATCCAATAGTTGGGAATTCAAATTCCTAAGGTTTTCAGATTTCATCCGTACCTCATGAAGCTGTATATAAGTCTAAGTGCTCTTGCTGTCTTCTAATATACTGCTCAAAAAACATAAAGGGAACACAAGCAGAAGACATCCGAGATCTGAATGAATGAAATAGCCTTATTAAATACTTTGTTCGTTACATACAGTAGTTTATGCACTGCTCAAACACCTGAAGGGAACACAAAACTACTGTATGTAACGAACAAAGTATTTAATAAGGCTATTTCATTCATTCAGATCTCGGATGTCTTCTGCTTGTGTTCCCTTTATTTGTTTGAGGAGTGTATTTTATTTCTATTAAAAAAAATTCATCATTACATACACTTTTCATTTTGGGAAGAACAAAATAATCTACAGCTCGTGAATTCAGTGGGAAATGGTTTAGAAAAATTTTCACATCCAGAAGTCGCGGGTGCTCCAACACCGGAGGTTTTCAGAGACTGGACAACCATTTCTAGAAGACCTCCCAAAATCCTTTTCAACTCTGCTGTGGTTATTATTGTTAAAATAGGCTGTTCGCTTCCAGATGCCTGTTCCCACTATCTGAACTCAGAGCAAAGAGAGGTCTGTTACCCAGAGATGCCACGTGTCTAGAATTCTCCTCCATGACTTCCCCGTGGAGGGACTTTTGGGTGGAATCCAGCAGAGCCCACTCCTCCTTGGAGAAACACACCACCACATCCTGGAAGGACACAGCACTCTGAGGAAGGGGAGAAAACATTAACAGATGCCGCCACCTTCAAAGTTTTGAAAGATCTCTGCTTCAATCTTCATCAAACATTTCCCTGCCTCCATGTACATCTCGCTACCGCCCGCTTTCCACCAAGCTGGAGGTCCATCTAGTAAGCTGGTGGACATTGAGGATGTTCAAACACTTGTAGTACATCTAATGGCCAATTTTGGGCAGGATTCCAAATTGTTAAGAAGAAAACAAGGAAGAATTCTCAGTAAAGTATTACAGTTTCTATGGCTTCAACGGCATCTTCAGGGAGGATTCCCTTTCCAGAAAAGAGGGGGATCTCTTTTGACACTGTATGAAGGAAAAATCCAAAGTGGGTGATCCATTGATGGACCTTCTCACAGCTCTAGTTTGGATTTTGGACTTCTTCCTTCCCCAGAGAAAAAAAGGGCTCGTCCGACTGAAGATTACATGACATGCCCTCTTCTCCTAGAACAGTGATGGCTAACCTTTTTGTAGTCGTGTGCTAAAAGCGGAGGAAGCGCAAGGGATCACGCGCACACGTTCCCACATCCATAATTCAATGCCCTCCTGTGCCCTGACCCCCCTATGTATGCACAGCAACCCCCCGCGCTCCCTGCACATGCGCGCACGAACCCCCTCCCCTCATTTTGAGCCTAGCAGGCCTCCCTGAAGCATCCAGAGGCCGGAAATGACCCGTTTGCAGACATCCTGCTTTTCGCCCTCCCAAGGCTCCAGATGGTTTCTTGGAGCCTGGGGAGGGCAAAAACAGCCTTCCCCTCTGGAGGGAAACGGCCCCTTTTCCGACTTCCGGTAGGCCCAGAAGGCCCATTTTTTTGCCCTCCCAAGGCTCCAGAGACTTTCTTGGAGCCTGGGGAGGTCGAAAACGGCCTCCCCCCGCTTGGAGGCTGAAAACGCCCTCCCAGAGCCTCTGCGCAAGCCCTGTACTTACCTGGCATCCAAAATGGGCCATGTGGAGACTCCTGGGAGGGGAGGTGTGGGCGGGGCCAGCTGAAAATCAGCTGGCCAGCATGCGCATGAGCGCTGGAGCTGAGCTAGGGCAATGGCTCGCGTGCCCGCAAATATGGCTCCATAGGTTTGCCATCACAGTCCTAGAAGTACCAGGAGGGAAACAGATGGTGGTACCCCTATGGGATCAGACAGAGAAGCCGTGTTTCTCGGGGTTCCTAACCACGATCACCTACCTGCTGAAATATCAAGAGTCTTCCCAAGGGTGGTTATTCTACAAGAAGCCTTAGTTGTACTGAAAGGTTTCCACTATTTTTAGGTTTTGAAGAGTGGCATCCAGAAAAGCTGGTTACAGGGGACTTTTTCTTCTCTATCCCAGCCATCTTTATCAGAGATGGTCCTTATCAATTGAGTTTCAAAGAGGAGAAGAGGGAGCCCTAACACACTTTCAGTCCCCAACACTGGAAGGCCCATCAGAAGTCTTAGCTGAAGAAATAAAACTTGTGAGGTCTTGTGGCTCCTAAGTATTTATCTCCTTATCAAGGTACGCAGCCATTCTATTAAATGTTACTTCTGAGTGTACAAGTAACACAAAGTTCCCTCTTTTCCTGGGAACAGAATGGCTGAATAGTCTTATCCCGTGTCTCAAAAATGGTGATGATGAAGCTTCCAAAATTCCATTTCATTCAGGATGCGGAGAAAGTCAAATTCTCAGTCACTTCTCAGTCATTTACGGGACCACCTACTACCACAAATAGCCTCCCACCAGCCGGTACGCTCTCATAGAGAGGGGCTCCTCCGGGTGCCGTCAGCCAAGCAGTGTCGACTGTCGGCCCCCAGGGGGAGGGCCTTCTCTGTGGGGGCACCCACTATCTGGAATGAGCTCCCCCCGGAGATACAGAGGATCCCGGATCTGCGCACCTTCCGCCGTGCTCTTAAGACCCTCTTATTCCAGCAAGCCAGCCTGGCCTAATTTTTCTCCCCTTTCTTTTAAATTCTAAATTGAAATTTTAATTTGTTTTAAATTTATTGGGATTTTAATTGTCGTGGGCTAAATTATTTAATTTGGTTTTAAATTGTTTTTAACTTTTGTATTTCTGTATTTTATCCTGTGCCTGTTCACCGCCTTGAGTCCTTCGGGAGTAGGGCGGTATACAAATTTAATAAAACTAAAACTAAACTAAACTTCTGCTAACGTTTTGTTTGTTTGTTTATTATTTGTCTGCTGCTCATCTTGTCCAGAGGCAACTCTGGGCCGCTTACAAATATTAAAGACCAGTAAACGTCAAAATGACAAAGTCACCCTGTGGCGAGATGGGCGGCCAACAAATTTAATAAACAACAAATAAATAAAAGAATAAATAAGAATAATTTTAGGCCTGTCACTTCAGAGGCTCACACATGGCATGAATAGCCAGGTCCAAGGTTAGGCGGTTATTATTTTATCTTGACTCTTCAATGTTCTGGAGTCCTCAAAGAGGACTTCTATGATTATGGGTCATTTCCCTACCTGAGCTGAAGAGAGTGTTTCTGCTTCATCAGAAAAAGAAAATATTTCAACAAGGTCCAGTGGTGATGGACCATATCCTGTAAGGGAGACAAATAAATGGGAAGAAGTGCATTTTAGGAGACTATGGTTAACAATTTGCGGGATGACACTCTATATAAAAACCTGTTCACATAGAAGGTAATCCCGTGAATTCAGGTTCTGAAGATGGGAGAAACCGCCAATCACTGGGCACGAAGACAGAATCCATCCTTACCTGCTAAGATCTCAAAAATGTCGTTTTCCTGGGAGATTCCTTCGAAAAGAGATGATTCCTGAGAGGAATCTGAGGAATCCATCCTCGTGTTTGCACCTTGTGGATCCACCTTGAGAGCGCCTCCCTATAAATAAACCATAGTGTCAAATCCGTGTTTCTGCCATTCTTCTGAAGAAAGGGGGGTGGGATATCATACTTGGTACATTTACTTTCTTTTCCTTTGTATGTATCCCATATCCTGCTTGCATTCTTGTATAACCTTTAACCTGATTTATAACCGTCGCCTGGCGCCGTAGCTGCCTGGCAGTTTCTCACATTTTTTTTTTTTTTTAATTTGATTTATATGCCGCCCTTCTCCGGAGACTCAGGGCGGCTTACAATGCGTTAAGCAATAGCCTTCATTCTTTTGTATATTTTATACAAAGTCAGCTTATTGCCCCCACAAACTGGGTCCTCATTTCACCTACCTTAGAAAGGATGGAAGGCTGAGTCAACCTTGAGCCTTGGAGAGATTCGAACCAGCAGAAATTGCAGGCAGCTGTGTTAATAACAGGGTGCATTAAACCACTGTACTATCAAGGCTGGGGAATGTAAGGGGAGGGTGGGCCGTGTGGGATGCATCGGCAGGAAGACAGCCCTGAGAAAGTTCTCTTATCTCTTTCTTAGAGAGCTGGTACACATCTGCGGATTGGCTGAATCCACATTGGACTGTTGAGAGTTTCTTTTATTCTAGTTGTATGCCCTGAGGGACCTCGGAGCCTGTTTGGATCTGCCTTGCTATCACCCCTTTTCAATAAAAGGTTCCTTTTGAAATGCCAAGTTTCAAGAGTCTTTACTTTCTTGAATAAGGGGGAGAGGCTGGGCCTTATTTATTGGAAACCTTAATCTCCCTTTGAAAAAAGGAGAATCAGAATCCTGGAATCTAAGAAAGGAATCGTTGCTTTTGACCATGGCCTTATTTTAAGTTTCTGGGTGTTATCATAAAAGAGGACCTGTCCTGGGGCGCTCACATTGCAGCCCTGGTCAAAAGGGCCCAGCAGAGATTATACTACCCAAGACTTCTCAGGAAACAACAACTGAATGAGAAATTGGTGGTGACCTTCTACCGCTACACCATAGAGAGTATTTTAATTTACTGCACCTGTGTATGGTTTGCCAATTGCACAGTGACAGATAGGACAGCACTCCAGAGGATTAATGTCATTGCCCAGAGGAACATTGGTTACCGTCTCCCCTCTTTGAAAGAGCTTTATAGCTCCCACTGCCTTAAGAAAGTTCAAAACATTCTTAAAGATCCATCTCATCCTAAGCACACTTTTTTTGAACTATTATCATCTGGCAGACGGTACAGGACAAGAAAAAAAAAAGAACAAATAGGCTGAAAAACAGCTTCTATCCCAGAGCAGTAACTATATTGAATTCTACAGTATAGTGCAATATTAATGCAATATCAGGGGTTTTCAATTCAATTTTATAGAATGTGAAGGATTTGTGTTTATGTTGGAAATAAGGAGACATTTTCTGACAGTGAGAGCAATCAACCCATAGAACAGAAGTTGCCTTATGAAGTTGTGGGAGCTTCATCACTGGAGGCTTAGGACCTAGGTACTTACGAGACCGCCTTCTGCCACCGGTAGCCTCTCACCGGCCAGTATGCTCCCATACAGAGGGGCTTCTCAGGGTGCCGTCGGTCAAACAGTGTCGACTGGCTGCCCCCAGGGGGAGAGCTTTCTCTGTGGGGGCACCTGCCATTTGGAACGAGCTCCCCCCGGAGATACGGAGGATCCCGGATTAAGCACTTTCCACCGTGTCCTCAAGACCTTTTTATTTCAATAGGCTGGCCTGGCGTAACTTCCTTTTAATTGTTAATTTTAAATTTGTTTTAAAACAATAGGGGTGTTTTAATCTGTATGGGCCAAATTATTTAATGTGCCTTTACATTGTTTTTTTAAATTTTGTATTATGTGTGTTTTATCTTTTGGCTGTTCACCGCCCTGAGTCCTTCGGGAGTAGGGCGGTATATAAATCCAAAATAAAGTAAAGTAAAAGGAAAGGAAAGGAAAGGAAAGGAAGCTTTCAAGAAGAGTCTGGACTGCTATCTGTCAGAAATGGTGTAGGGTCTCCTGCCTAGGTGAGGGGTTGGACTAGATACCACTTTATATCTTGGTAAGGCCACACTTGGAATACTGCATTCAGTTTTGGTCGTCATTGTTAGGATATGGTCTGAGCCTAACAAGTTGTCCAGGCAATGTATGTGTTCTGTGACTTTAATATGAATATGTATTGTGTGACTTTAAAGTTTTCCTGCTGATTCATTGTAATGCTGAGTCCTGCTGTAATTAGTTGTGAATGTATTTAAGAAAGGTACTGTAACGTATTCAGTTGATGATAAGCTACCATTGTGTGAGGAGTTCTATCCATTGTGCTATCATCGTTTGATAGATCTGCTACCATCGTGGTTTGTGAACCAGAGTGAGTTTGTTATTCTAACCAACTACTGTTTGTGTGGTAAGAAGATTTTTGTATCACTGGACTGATTTAACTGGCAAAGACTTGGATTGATTTAAAGACTATGAGACTGTTTTTTCACTATAAAGTAAACTTTTGATAAACCAGTTTGCACATCTCTTATTCATTGCTCTCAGCAACGTTTCTCTGTGCTCTACACTCTGCTGGTTGGTAACACAACAACAATATCCTTAACAACTTCTTTCCAGAATGAAGAATTCATTGCTTGGAGAGATCCGTGAATAAGATCCGTTCCCTGAAGAAGTAAAGAGGGTGGGCTGTGAGGGAGAAGAAATTCAAAGTCCTCTTAAATTTACCATATTTTTTTGGAGTATAAGACGCACTTCCCCCCCAAAAAGGGTGAAAATTTGGGTGCGTCTTATACACCGAATGTAGCCAAAAACATGAGGCATGGAGGAGGCGATGGTCTGTGGCAATCCCTGCAGCCTGGAACATCTGACAATATCCTTAACAGTCATGATATAAAAAAGATGTGGAGACTCTAGAAAGAGTGCAGAGAAGAGCAACAAAGATGATTAGAGGACTGGAGGCTAAAACATACGAAGAACGGTTGCAGGAACTGGGTATGTCTAGTTTAATGAAAAGAAGGACTAGAGGAGACATGATAGCAGTCTTCCAATAGCTCAGCGGCTGCAACAAAGAAGAGGGAGTCAAGCTATTCTCCAAAGCACCAGAAGTCAAGACAAGAAACAACGGATGAAAACGAATCAAGGAGAGAAGCAACCTGGAATTAAGGAGAAACTTCCTTAATTCAGTTGTAAATGGGTGGAAACTAATCAAGGAGCAAAGCAACTTAGAACTAAGGAGAAATTTCCTGACACTTAGAACAATTCATCAGTGGAATAATTTGCTTCCAGAAGTTGTGGATGCTCCAACACTGGAAGTTTTTAAGATGTTGGCTAAGCATTTGTGTGGAGAGGTGTAGGGTTTTCTGCCTGAGCAAGGGGTTGGACTAGAAGACCTCCAAGGTCCCTTCCAACTCTGTTATTCTATTCTATTGTCTAGATGACCTCCAAAGTCCCTTCCAACTCTGTTAAATCTGTTAAAAAGTTCAAAAAAATCCTGGTGGGGCTCCATTTGGAATCAAATCAAGAATCAGGTTCCTCACCTCCCTTTCTTGGTGGTCTGTCTGGCTCAGCAGAAGGCCTTCAGCCAAGGCCACCGCCTGGGAGCTGGTTTCCACTCCACATTCCCTCAGCCAGCTGGCAATCTCCAGGGGAAGGACGGCCAGGAACTGCTCCAGGAGCACCAGGTCCAGCATTTGAGCCTTGGTGTTCCTGTCTGGTTTTAACCACCTGCGGCAAAGGCGATGGAGGCGGCTGCAAACTCTTCGGGGTCCTTCTGACTCCTGGTAGCAGAATCCTCTGAAATTCTGCCGGTGAATCTCGGAAGAGAGGTGGTCTTCTTCTAGGAACTTCTGCCTGGTCCTTTGGTCGAATTCTTCCCAACGCTCCGTCTGATCACGACAAGGGCTGGTTCCTGTCGGGCTTCTTGACTCCATCTTCTCCCTGAGCTCCGCTGAAGATACCGAGACTTGGATTGGGTTCTCCTGGCTCTCTAAAATGGCTGGCCTTGGAGGACCGGAACCTGGGGGAAGAATCGAGGGTCCGGATCAAGGCCTATTTTGGTGAGGAGGGAGGGTCCCTCTTTCTCCCCTCCCTGCGGTGGAAAGACTTGCAGGAGGGGGGCGGGGCTCTGACAGGCAGGCAGAGAGCAAGGTCAGATCCTCCCTAGCAATTCACAGGACCTATCTAGATAGGTAGTCCTTGACTTACAGCTACAATTGAGCCCAACATTTCCGTGGCTAAGCAAGACAGTTGTTCCGTTTTGCTACATTTTTCAACCTTTCTTGCGACCGTTCTTAAGTCAATCGCTTCGGTTGTTCAGTTAGTAACATGGTTGTTAAGCGAGCCTGGATTCCTTACTGACTTTGCCTGGGTCATCGCAACTGTCATGAAAACAGGCCAGTGGCCACATGTCTGAATTTCGATCATGCGACCATGGGAATGCTGCAACAGCCTTAAGTGGGACAAAATGGTCACAAATCACTTTTTTTTCGGTGCCATTCTAAATTCGGTTACTAAATGAATGGTTGTAAGTCAAGGAGGACCTGCGTTTATTGCAGGTACAGGTGGTCCTCTATTTACGGCCACAATTGAACCAAACGTTTATGTTGCTAAGTGAGCCCGGCCCCATGTTCCTTGCCACAGTTGTTAAGTGAATCACTGCAGAGCTTAAGGCTTCCCCGTTGACTTTGCTTGGCAGATCGCCAAAAGGGGAATGCCCGACCACGGGACATTGCGACCGTCGTAAGTATGAACCAGTTGCCAAGCGTCCGACTTTTGAGTTACTTGACTGTTGGGATGTTGCAACGGCGTGAAAAACGGTCCCAAGTCACTTTTTCTCAGTGCTGTCGTAACTTCGGTCACTAAACAAACGGTCGTAAGTCAAGGACTATTGCAGATCGTGTCTTTAGTCTGGCCAGATTCTGTTCAGAGGCAAACAGCAATAAAGGAACCACAGATAGTCCTCGACGTACAGCCGTTCATTTAGTGACCGTTCATAATTACAACGGCACTGACAAAAGGGACTTAGGACCGTTTTTCACACATACGACCGTCGCAGCATCCCCAGGATCGAAATTCAGACGCTTAGCAAAGTGACTCCCATTTATGATGGTTGCGGCATCCCTGGGTCACATGATCCCCTTTTGCGACCTTCCAATAGGCAAAGTCAAAGAGGAAAATCAGATTCACTTAACAACCCTCGCTTAACAACGGCAGCGATTCGCTTAACAACGGTAGCAAGCAAGGCCATCCAATGGAGCAAAATCCACTCAACCAATGTCTCGCTTAGCAATGTCGGGCTCAATTATGGTCGTACATCGAGGATTCCCTACGCCAGAAGGAGCTGCCGGTCTCGTTCTTTGGTCCCCAAAAGTCTTCCTCAGCCCCCCCCGTCCTCTTCACCCCCCCAAGCCTAAAAGTGAGGGGCTGTGGGGGTCCATCTGAAGGGTCTCAGCTTGGGGTACAACTTCCTGTGGGGGGAGGTAAAAGGGGGGGGCTCTGCCAGGGTGGAAGAGAGTGGGAGGTCTCCCAGAATGGGGGAGGAAAAAAAAGGGGGGCTCTCCCAGAATGGGGCAGTAAAAAAGGGGGGCTCTCCCAGGGTGGGGCAGTAAAAAAAGGGGGGGCTCTCCCAGGGTGGGGCAGTAAAAAAGGGGGGGCTCTACCAGGATGGGGCAGTAAAAAAGGGGGGCTCTCCCAAAATGGGGGAGGAAAAAAAGGGGGCTCTCCCAGGGTGGGGCAGGAAAAAAGGGGGGGCTCTACCAGGATGGGGGAGGAAAAAAGGGGGGGCTCTCCCAGAATGGGGGAGGAAAAAAGGGGGGGCCTCCCCCAGGGTGGGGGAGGAAAAAGGGGGAGCTCTGACAGCACCCCTCCCAAAAACTTCCTTGCTTCCCCCCCACCACCACGTATCGATGTCCCCCAACGCAGCTCCAGGTTCCCCCCCCCAGGAGCCCCCAGACCCCGAAGCAAGGGAGGGGGTGGCCTCCCCATCCACACCTATCAGCCCTTTTTTGGAGGGGGGGGCAGCTGCTCCTCAACGGCCGAGGGGGATAGAGTGCCGCTTCCTAGAAGGGCGCGCCACCCACCGATCGCCGTTTCTCCCAGCGGATCAGCAACGGTCAACGGCGGAACAATCTGACTGATGAAGTCCTCCCGCGCAGGCGCAGAGGTCTCCCCTTTAGCGGCGTTCGGCCGCCGCGCGGACCGCCCCCTGGCGGCGAAAGCGGCGCCTCGCACGGTCCGCTTGGTGGGCGAGCCGTGAACTCGCGAGGGGCAAAACGGGTGAGAGGGAAAACGTGGGATTTGATGGGGGTGGGGGTGGGATTCAAGAATGAAGGAAATAAGTTAGCAACATAAAATAATAAAAACAATGCAAGTATTGCAAAAAGTTTGCAATATTCATTGCAATTACTTTGCAATGAGTCATTGATGAATGTATTTTATTTTTCTTTATGTACACTGAGAACATATGCAGGTCCATATGTGTCCAATCACACTTGGTCAATAAAGAATTCTATTCTATTCTATTCTATTCTGTTCTGTTCTGTTCTGTTCTGTTCTGTATTCTATTTCTATTCTATTCTGTATTCTATCTCTATCTCTATTCTATTCTATTCTCTATTCTATTTCTATTCTATTCTCTATTTCTATTCTATTCTATTCTCTTATTCTATTTCTATTTCTATTCTATTCTCTATTCTATTTCTATTTCTATTCTATTCTATTCTCTTATTCTATTTCTATTTCTATTCTATTCTATTCTCTTATTCTATTCTCTTATTCTATTCTATTCTATTCTCTATTCTATATTCTATTCTATACTATTCTCTATTCTATTTCTATTCTATTCTATTCTATTCTATTCTTCTATTCTATTCTGTATTCTATCTATTTCTATTCTATTCTCTATTCTATTTCTATTCTATTCTCTGTTCTCTATTCTATTCTGTATTCTATTTCTATTCTATTCTATTCTATTCTATTCTATTCTGTATTCTATCTCTATTTCTATTCTATTCTCTTCTATTTCTATTCTATTCTCTGTTCTCTATTCTATTCTATTCTGTATTCTATTTCTATTTCTATTCTATTCTCTATTCTATTTCTATTCTATTCTGTATTCTGTATTCTATACTATACTATACTATACTATACTATTCTATTTCTTTCTATTCTATTCTCTATTCCATTTCTATTCTATTCTATATTCTATTCTATATTCTATTCTATTCTCTTTCTCTATTCTATTCTATTCTGTATTCTATTTCTATTCTATTCTATTCTCTATTCTATTTCTATTTCTGTTCTATTCTATTCTCTTATTCTATTTCTATTCTATTCTATTCTATTCTATTCTCTATTCTATTTCTATTCTATTCTCTATTCTATTCTATTCTATTCAATTCTATTCTGTATTCTATTTCTATTCTATTCTATTCTCTATTCTATTTCTATTTCTGTTCTATTCTATTCTCTTATTCTATTTCTATTTCTATTCTATTCTATTCTCTATTCTATTTCTATTCTATTTCTATTCTATTCTATATTCTATTTCTATTCTATTTTATTCTATTTCTATTCTGTATTTTATTCTATTCTACTCTACTCTACTCTACTCTATTCTAGGGTAAAAGAAATAATGTACTCCCTCCCCCCCCCTCCCCATACAAAGGAATAGGTGGGATGGACTGCGAGTGGCGTCAGCGGTGCAACCATCATGCACAAACTTCCAGAAAGACTTTGGAAAAAGTGCAGAGAAGAGCAACTAAGACGAGCCTAAAGGAGTCGGTCTTTAGGAGACTAAAACCTATGAAGACCGGTTGCAGGGATTGAGTACAGCCAGTCTAGAGAAAAGAAAGAGTAGGGGGGAACATGATAGCAGTGTTCCAATATTTGAGGGGCTGCCACAAAGAAAAAGGGGGCCGACTTATTTTCCAAAGCACCAGAAGAAGGAAAGGCAAGAAGCAACGGATGGAAACCCATCCAGGAGAGAAGCAACCTGGAACTAAGGAGAAACTTCCTAACAGTGAGGATAATTAACCAGCGGAACAGCTTGCCACCAGAAATGGTAGGTTTGGAGATTAACAGAGTGGGAAGGGATCTTGTAGGTCATCTAGTAGTCCAACCCCCCCACCCCAAGCAAGAGACTGTTATAAATAGCGCACATTTGCATATGGAACTACCGGAGACAACTTGAAAGCAGCAAAGAAGTTTATTCAAGTATTTTGCAAACAGGTGCACAAAGCATTCATCAGCTTTTACCCCCTTACACAAGTTTGTTTGTTTGTTTGTTTATTTATTTATTTATTTATTTATTTATTTATTTATTTATTTATTTATTTATTTATTTATTTATTTATTTATTTATTTATTTATTTATTTATTTATTTATTTATTTATTAATCAAATTTCTATGCCACCCTACTCCCGAAGGACTCAGGGCGGTGAACAGCCAAGATAAAATACAAATAATACAAATATTAAAAATCCCTTAAAATTATTAAATATTTTGGCTGAAACACAGGTTAAAACACCCAATTTATAAAATCACGAATTAAAAATTTAAAAAGGAGAGTTAGGCCAGGCCAGCCTGCTGAAATAAAAAAGTTTTTGAGAGCACGACGAAATGTGCGCAGGTCCGGGATCCTCCGTATCTCTGGGGGGAGCTCGTTCCAGATAGTAGGTACCCCCACAGAGAAGGCTCTCCCCCTGGGGGCCGCCAGTCGACACTGTTTGGCCGATGGCACCCTGAGGAGCCCCTCTCTATGGGAGCGTACTGGTCGGTGAGAGGCTATTGGTAGCAGAAGGCGGTCTCGTAAGTACCCCGGTCTGATGCCATGGAGCGCTCTAAAGGTGGTAACCAAAACCTTGAAGCGCACCCGGAAGACCACCGGGAGCCAGCGCAGCTCGCGCAGGAGGGGGGTCACATGGGAGCGCCACGTCGCTCCCATAACCACCCGCGCGGCCGCATTCTGGACCAGTTGGAGCCTCCGGGTGCTCCTCAAGGGGAGCCCCATGTAGAGAGCATTGCAGTAGTCCAGTTCACTTCCTCCTCGCCTTCGTGACCCAGCATCCAACGCAATTCTTCTAAAAGCCCCCTCCACCTTTGCTCAAAGAAGTTTAACAAGTTCACCATAAACTTTTTCCTTGCTAGCATCAGCTCTGTTGTTATTTTTGTACTTCCTCTGCCTGAGGTTAAAGCAGCCATTCAGGCTCGCTGGGCTTGTGGTTCTTAGCTGCTACACATAGGGAATTTTGAAACAGCTTATAATTGTTCCATTTGACATATCAAGCATTTACCTTTTTAGAAACAATACCAACTCCATTTTCTTTTACAAAATAATAATACATGATCATTATTTTTTTCAAATGTCCATTTTCCTTATAATTAACAAGACCCTACACCGGTGATGGCTAACCTTTTTGACATCGCGTACCAGGAACAGGGGGGGAGGTCATGCACATGTGTGCCCACACCCATAATTCTATGTGCCCTGCCCCCACGCATGTGCATGCAACCCCCCCCTCCCGCTCCCAGCACGCGATGGCACAGTAGGCCCATTTTTTGCTGTCCCCAGCCTCCAGAGCCTTTCTAGGAGTCTGGGGAGGGCAAAAACAGTTTTCCTCACCCCATCCTGCCGGAGGCCCTCCGGAGGCCAAAAACAGCCCATTTGCCAACTTCCGATGGGACCGGAAGGCCCATTTTTTGTTCTCCCCAGCCTCCAGAGCCTTTCTAGGAGTCTGGGGAGGGCAAAAACAGCCTTCCCCACCACCACCCGATGCCCTCCGAAGGCAAGAAACAGCATGTTTCCCTACTTCTGGTGGGCCCAGAAGGCCCGAAAATCAGTTGGCTGATCTCGCGTACCCACTGATACAGCTACACGTGCCACCTGTGGCAAGCGTGCCATAGGTTTGCCATCATGGCCCTACAACTTTTCTGACAAATGGCAGTCTAGTCTCTTCTTGAAAGCCTCCAGTGATGAAGCTCCCACAACTTCCGAAGGGGTTGATTGTTCTCACTGTCAGAAAATTTCTCCTTATTTCTAGCTTGAATATCTCCTTGACCAGTTTCCATCCATTATTCCTTGTCTGGCCTTCGGGTGCCTTGGAAAATAGCTTGACCCCTTCCTGTCTGCGGCAGCCCCTCAAATATAGGTGTTTCATCACTGGATGGTTTTTAAGAAGAGACTGGATAGCCACTCTAGGCATGGATCGGGCTTTTCTCTGCTATGGCTTCTTTTATGAGTAACAAGGTTACAGCTTTGACTAAACTTTTTCCCACATTCAGTGCATTCGTAAGGTTTCTCTCCCGTGTGCATTCTTTTATCTTTTATTCTTTTATCCTGGACAGCGCCCCCACTAGCAGCAGCAGGGGAAGCCCAATCCATGTCCGTAAGCGTCCCCAGAGAGAGGGAAGAAAGATGCAGATGCTTCAAGCTCCAGAGGCGGAATCGGTGGGTTTGGATTTGGGGTGAGGAAGCCTTCTTCTCGGACCTGAAATTGAAAGGACCAGAACAAGCAGACGCGCCAATGAGAATTCTCACTCCTGGAGCGTCATCGGTCTCCGGGCAGCATCCTTTGTGACTTCCCCCTGTGGAGGAGTTAGTTCCGGGCAGAGAGAGAACCCGTAAAAGTGGGAGGGGGGATCTTTCAGTCTTGGGGGCCTGTAGCTTAAGGGGGTGTCCCCTGCCAGCAGCAGAGATGACCATCCCTTCTTTTTCTCGCTTCACAATTCATAGTCAGGCTCGCTCTCTCTCACATTGAAAAATAAAAATCGATGTAGAAAAAAGTAACGTTTTACATTTAGGCAAGAAAAACCAAATGTACTTGTACAGAATAGATTGTCTCTGGCTCAATAGCAGTAACTCCGAGAGGGATCTTGGGAATCCTAGTGGACAACCACTTAAATATCAGCCAGCAATGTGCTGCAGCAGCAGAAAAGCCAATGCAGTCCTAAGCCGCATTAACGGAGGGATAGACTCAAGCAGTGGTGAAATCTAAAATGTGTTACTACCAGTTCTGTGAGCGCGGCTTGCTGGGGGGGGGGTTAATGTGACTGGGTGGGCGTAGCCATTTTTTAAAAAACTTTTAAAACCATTTTTTCTACAACCTTTTCGGTGAAAAGGTGAAGAGGTTGTAAAAAAATGCTTTCAAAAGGCTCTGACGATCCCAGCTGAGTTGCCTGATCGTCAGAGGCTTTTTTTCTTTTAAATGCCTCTGCCGATCAGGCAATTCAGCTGGGATCGTCAGGCATCGTCTTGGATTGTCAGCTTGGATCGTCAAACTCAGCTTGACGATCAGGCAACTCATCTTGGATCATCAGAGGCATTTAAAAGAAAAAAAAAGCCTCTGATGATCGCGCAACTCAGCTGGGCATGGGGGGGGGGCAGGGATTTTTGCTACCAGTTCTCCAAACCACCCACCTCCATCGCTACCAGATCGGGAGATCCGGTCCGAACTGGGAGCATTTCTTCCTTGGACTCAAGGTCACATTAGGCAGAAAAATCAGAGGTATAAGTACAGGTTAGGTGAGACCCAGCTCAAAAACAGGAACTGTGAGAGGGACCTTGGAGTCCTGGTGGACGGATCGCTTGACTATGAGCCAGCAGTGTTGCAGCAGCAGCAAGTTAATACAATCCTGGGTTGTAAAAATAGAGGCATAGAATCAAGATCCCGTGAGGTGTTAGCACCGCTTTATAAAACCCAGCAATGGTCAGAGCTCCATTGGACTCAAAAGCCAGAAAAAAGAGAGGAAGAAATACGGAAGGGAAAAGTGGTTGAGGCTCTACTGGGCAGACAGCTTAGCTCCAGATGGATTTTGGGTTAAGTAGTTATCAAGTGGATAGTTGTAGTCATTGCTCTTAATGGGGGTCTCTACCAGTGGTGGTATTCAGCAGGTTCTATCAGGTTCGGGCAAACTGGTAGCAGTGGCGGGAGGCTCCGCCCACCCGCCAAGATGTAATCACATCCCATTTTTGACGCTCTGCATATGCGCGGAAGCAGGGGAGAAATGCTCCCAGTTCGGACTGGATTGGCCAATCCGGTAGCGATGGCGGTGGGTGGTTTGGAGAACTGGTAGCAAAAATCTCTACACCCCACCACCACCACCATGCCCAGCTGAGCTGCACAATCATCAGAGGCTTTTTTTTTACTTTTAAAAGCATTTTTTCTACAACCTTTTCAGCTAAAAAAATGCTTTTAAAAGAAAAAAAAGCCTCTGATGATTCAGCTGGGATCATCAAAGGCTTTTAAAAGCATTTTTTCTACAATCTCTTCAGCCGAAAAAAAGCTTTTAAAAGAAAAAAAAGCCTCTGATGATTCAGGTGGAATCATCAAAGGCTTTTAAAAGCATTTTTTCTACAACCTCTTCAGAAATTGTAGAAAAAAATGCTTTTAAAAGCCTCTGATGATCTCAGCTGAGTTGCCTGATCGGCAGAGGCTTTTTTTCTTTTAAAAGCCTCTGATGATCCAAGCTGAATTGCCTGAGCATCAGAGGCATTTAAAAGAAAAAAAGCCTCTGCTGATCAGGCAACTCAGCTGGGATCATCAGAGCCTTTTGAAAGCATTTTTTTTACAACCTCTGGTTAAAATGGTTTTAAAAGTAAAAAAAAAAAATTGGCCATGTCCACCCAGTCACATTACCCATCCCCACCAAGCCACGCCCACAGAACCGGTAGTAACAAATTAGATTTCACCACTGCGCGGAAGGCCCTGCGCACACGCTCACATTTGCAAAAAGGTAGCGAACATAAGTGAATATCACCTCTGGTCTCTGCTGAGCAGGAGAGATTGGGGGGGCCTGGAGTGACAGGCAGGCCAAGGGTTCCTGGGGGCAGACTAGATGGTCTCCATCCCCTCTCTGTCCCCCTCCCATCTTAAAAGAAAGAGAGATCCTGAATGGAAGGATGCTGAGGGGGGTGTTTGTCTCAGCAGGAGAAGGTCCAGGCTGCGATCCTCCTCCTCTCCTCGATCCGCCATTTTGTACTTCTATTCTTCAAGAGTTGCCAAAAAAAAAAAAAAAGGCAAAAATTCACCAGCTACTCAAAAACATTCTTCTGCACCTGATAGCAGGAAGGGATGGCGGGATTAACTCATGAGTGCTGCGGGGTGGAAAAATAGACAGAGAAGAAAATTAGAATATATGGTAAACGCTTCAGTGTAAATTTATTTATTTATTTATTTTATTCATCAAATTTCTATACCGCCCTACACCCGGAGGACTCAGGGTGGTGAGCAGCCAAGATAAAATACAGATAATACCAACATTAAAAGTCCCTTAAAATTATTAAATATTTTGGCCGAAACACAAATTAAAACACCCAATTTATATAACAGATCAAACGATTTAAAAATGTAAAAGGGAGAATTAGTCCAGGCCAGCCTGCTGAAATAAAAAAGTTTTGAGAGCACGAAGAAACGTGCGCAGATCCAGGATCCTCCGTATCTCCGGCGGGAGCTCGTTCCAGATGGTAGGTGCCCCCACAGAGAAGGCTCTCCCCCTGGGGGCCGCCAGTCGACACTGTTTGGCCGACGGCACCCTGAGAAGCCCCTCTCTATGGGAGCGTACTGGTCGGTGAGAGGCTATTGGTAGCAGAAGGCGATCTCGTAAATACAAATAAATTGTTTTTGGAGAGCTGGCAGGAAAAAACCCAGGGTAGGCTTCCCTCTCCTTCACACTGAGTCCCTTTAGGAAGGCCTACACTGCAGGGGGAAGGTTGATGAGCGAGGGACAGAAAGTGAGGGAAGGAAGTTGCTGGGAGGGACCAAGAATTCCTCCCCATCTCATCTCCTGGGACTCAAAGGGAGTCTGAGTTCAGCCAAAGGGCTGCAGAGGGCCCCTTGACAAGAGGGAATTATTTCTAATTGACCTAATTAGGGAATTAATCAAGAGAAGAGGCCTCCCTCCCTCCCTGCAGGCATTTCATATTAACAAAGAAGATGGGTTAGCTGTCAATCACTATTTCAGCTTTGTTATGGAATGATGGGACCAAACAACATTCCTGGGTCAGTCAGAGACAGTTTTATTGCGCAGTTTCAGAACCAGATTTGTATCTGCAATTCTGAACCAAGAAGAGCTCTGATACAACTACCTTTATACATCTTCAAGACAAAGGATTTTGCAAGCACAGCAGTTTTCCATATATGGTTAACATACATTTGTCACATTATAATTGACACTTTCTAATTACTAAATTCTTTCATTATTTTCTAGTTCATAAGATTATCTTAGCTAAGCAACCTTCCTCAATTCTATGTTTGCTGATGCGTAGATTCATGGCTGCTTTGGCTTAATAAGTAACCTTTTGTTTCAGATGGATGTCTCTGCATCCTTGACAGATAGGCCCCTCAGAAGATATATATTACCAAGAATGGAATTTAGCTGACCTTGTGTAATCTCTAAACAAGCACATTTCTTTCTTATAATAATGTGAATAAAGAGGGTCCTTCGGTGCTCATATAGCTGATCCTGTACTATTCACATTAGCTTCAACCGCAATATTATCCGAGTACACAATAGATACAAGCTTAAGGTAAACTGCTCCAAACTCGATTGCAGAAAATACGACTTCAGTAACAGAGTGGTCAAGGCCTAGATTGCACTACCTGACTCTGTGGTTACTTCCCCAAACCAGTGGTGAAATGTAAAATTTGTTACTACCGATTCTGTGAGTGTGGCTTGGTGGGGGGGGGGGTGTTAATGTGACTGGGTGGATGTGGCCAACTTTTTTGTTTTACTTTTTAAAGCATTTTTTCGGCCGAAGCGGTTATAGAAAAAAATGCTTTTAAAAGTAAAAAAAAAAATGCCTCTGATGATTGAGTGGCTCACCTGGGCATGGGGGAGGGCAGGGATTTTTGCTACCGGTTCTCCGAACCACCCACCGCCATCGCTACCAGATCGGATGATCCGGTCCGAACGGGGAGCATTTCACCCCTGCCCGAAACCCCAAAAACTTTAACCTTAGATGTCCACTGTTGACCTCACCCCTTTCCCAAAAGGTCTGTAAGTGGCGTGCATAAGCGCATTTGCCGGAACTTGTGTGACATGTCAATAGGCAGGAGGAATTGGGAAAAGCAGCCCACGAACGTGGGGTGCTCCCTCTCCTACCCTCAATGATGGGAATGGTCCCCCTCCTTCCTGTCCTCCCTTCCCTTTTGCAATTCTAGGACCCCAGAAGAGAAAAGCTTTTTAATGAATGGAGGTGAGGAATAGAAGACACTCACCTGCAGGCGGTTGGATGGGAGTTGCTATAAAGAGAAGAAGATGCAATCAGTTAGCCCATGGACTAGATAACTGAAGGTGGGGGGAGGTGTCAGACATATTTCCTCAGATCCTCTCAGGAGAAAAAAGATTCCCAAATAAATCTCTCAGGGTGACCATCAGCCTCAGGATTTGAAGGTCAAGGGCACCATCTTGGCCATCTACTTATTAAGCTTGATGAGATGCCTCCCCTAGATGGTCCCCTCCCCATAACTTCTTATCCAGCCCCCCAGACTCACCTTTCTTGCTCTTCAGGTAGGAGAAGAGCCCCACAGCCAGAAAGATCACGCCTATCACGGCTCCCATGATCCCCGTCCAGAGTTTGCTCCTGGCAGAGTTGGAGGAATGGGGCTCTGGGGAAGGAGAAGGAGCCTCACCTGAGCAGGAGGATCAGGCCCACCTTCCCCCAGGAGGGTCCATTCCGGCTCCACCCACAGAGAGGATCTTTCTTCCTCCTGATTGTGTGCCCAGACCAGGAGGGGAGGGGCTTACCCCACTGGACAGTGATGGGGGCCTCCAGGCTGGCATGCCCCACCTTGCAAGCGTAGATGTCCCCCCACTGGGGCTGGGTCTCCAGCATCACCTGGAGCTGGTAGGTCCAGTCTCCATTCTGGAGCACCTCCCCAAAGGCCACGCCCTCTTCCTCCGGCCGCCCGTTCTTCAGCCACTGGCCCTCGATCTCCACGGGGTAAAAGCCGGTCGCGGTGCAGAGGAGGATGGTGTTGGGGGAAGCAGGGTCCATCTTGGTCGGGGAGATGGTGACGGTGGGCTTGGCTGGAGGGAAGGAGAAGGAGGAACATGAGAGACACAACCGGGCCCAGAATGGAAGAGTGCTGGACCCCGGAAACAGCCCCAGAGAAGGAAGCTCCAAGACAACCCTGAAGAGCAGTCTGGCTCAAGGACAAGCGGAATTGACAGCTCCAAACATTAGGAAGGCCATGTAGCCTTAATGAGAACCAGCACCTTACAGAGCATGGCGAGGAAGTCAGGGAGGAGAAGGACGCCAAAATTAATCCTCCTCATTTTTTTATCAGACAATTTGGACTCAAGATGGAGGAAAGACAAGCCAATACCAGCATTTGGGTTGTAAGTGGGGGAAAAAAACCCATTTTGAATATATCACTCAGAAGGCACATGAACTCCATTCTATGGTGATGATACAACTGTCAGTAACCAAAGGAAGCCTGGAAGATCTGATCAAGAAAAGCAAAGAAGAACATGAAAATTCGGTGTCTTTCTAAACATCAAAAAGATGGAAACATCAAAATAGAAATTGATGGTGAAGAGATAGAAGGTGGGGTGGGGTGTGGGAAATCACTTTCCTAGGAATACAGATCACTCAAAGTGGTGACTGCAGCCCAGAAATTCAGGAGCCTTGATAGTACAGTGGTATATGCACCCTGTTATTAACACAGCTGCCTGCAATTTCTGCTGGTTCGAATCTCTCCAAGGCTCAAGGTTGACTCAGCCTTCCATCCTTTCTAAGGTAGGTGAAATGAGGACCCAGTTTGTGGGGGCAATAAGCTGACTTTGTATAAAATATACAAAAGTATGAAGGCTATTGCTTAACACACTGTAAGCCGCCCTGAGTCTTTCTTTCTCTTTCTCTTTATTCAAATTTCTATACCGCCCTTCTCCTTTCGGACTCAGGGCGGTGAACAGCCAAAAAATAAAACATTTTATATACAAAAGTTAAAATAAATTTAAAATAATTAAATAAATTTGGCCCATTAATTTAAAACATTCCAATTAAAACCATATTAAAATTATTTAAAACCAATCATAAAATCAGGACAGCCCGGCTAACTGAAATAAATAGGTTTTGAGAGCCCGACGAAAAGTCCGGAGGTCTGGGATCACTCGTATCTCTGGGGGTAGATTGTTCCAGAGGGTGGGTGTACCACAGAGAAGGCTCTCCCCCTGGGGGTCGCCAGCCGACATTGCCTGGCCGACGGCACCCTGAGGAGGCCCTCTCTGTGGGAGCGAACTGGCCGGTGGGAGGCAATTGGTGGCAGGAGGCGGTCCCGTAGATACCCCGGCCCTAAGCCATGGAGCGCTTTAAAGGTGATCACCTTGAAGCGCACCCGGAAGTCCACCGGGAGCCAATGTAGCTCGCGCAGGAGAGGAGTCACATGGGAGCGCCCCGTCGCTCCCATAATCCCCCGCGCGGCCGCATTCTGCACCAGTTGGAGCCTCTGGGTGCACCCCAAGGGGAGCCCCATGTAGAGAGTCTCTGGAGAAGGGCGGCATATAAATCAAATTAAAAAAAAAATTAAACGTTGGATTCCACTGGGTTGCACAGCAATGATGAACATGAGTCGAATATGGAAAAGCAAGGATAGCAAACTGGCAACCCAATGTAGGTTAGTCCGCTCTCTTCTGTTCCCCGTAGCTACCTATAGTATACCTGTATCCTTCATGAGTCAAAAAGAGGGCTATGAAAATATTTACAGACCCTTCGCATCCGGGATATAAACTGTTTCAACTCCTACCCTCAAAACGACGCTATAGAGCACTGCACACCAGAACAACTAGACACAAGGACAGATTTTCCCCGAACGCCATCACTCTGCTAAACAAATAATTCCCTCAACACTGTCAAACTATTCACTAAATCTGCACTACTATTAATCTTCTCATCGTTCCCACCACCCATCTCCTCCCACTTATGACTCTATGACTGTAACCTTGTTGCTGGTATCCTTACGATTTATCTTGATATTGTTTCCTGATTGCTTATTTGTCCCCTATGACTATCATTAAGTGTTGTACCTTATGATTCTTGACGAATGTATCTTTTCTTTTATGTACACTGAGAGCATAGGCACCAAAGGGAAATTCCTTGTGCGTCCAATCACACTTGGCCAATAAAGAATTCTATTCTATTCTATTCTACCTATGGTGGTGAAAGTTGGACCTTCGAATAGCAAGACAGGAAGAAAATTGACTCGGTTTTGCTGTGTTGCTGGAGAAGGCTCCAGTGTTTTCCTGGGACAGCAAAGGTGACCAACGAGCAAGAACTGAAGCGCATAACGCCAGACATGTCACTGAAAGGCAAAATCACAAAACTGTGTCTCATTTATTTTGATTGTGTCGTGCGCAGTAGTGGGATTCAAATCTCGGCACTACCGGTTTGCTATTAGGAGTGTGCGGGTGTGCGTGATTGCTTTGGGGGTATGTGATGCTTCTGCACATGCGCAGAGGGTTCTGAGCATGTGCAGAGTGTTTTTGATGACGTCTGGGTGGGTGGGCGGAGCTTCCCACCACCGCCACTCCTGGTTCGCCCAAACCGGTGCGAATCGGTAGCAACCCACACCTGGTCGTGTGGGAGAATTCATTGGACAAAGCAATTACGTTTGGAAGAGTTAGTGGTAGAAGGAAACCAGGTCACCAAAGAATATGGTGGCTGTACATCATCAGAACCGACACCAGCCAGAGCACAGAACTCCTCAAAAAAGCAGTGCAAGATCAGAAGATGTGGAAGGACCTGCCCCACAGCATCGCCAAGAGTCGGACACGACTGAATGGATATCATCAATCAAAGGTCCTTCGATCATCATCTTCTTTTAATGATCCCATAATCCTTTACAGGCTGGAGTCTGGCCTACTGTCTGAATCTGTGGGGGACAGAGAATGTCTCCGTTGGCCTTGGAGCAATTAAGAGAATGGCTCCGTTGGCCTTGGAGGAAACTGGGGAAGGGCAGAGTCAATCCAGGCAAAGCTTTTCTGAATTAGTAAGGCCTACAGACAGGGAGGAGCAGGAGAGACAAAGCTCAGGAGAAGAGCAAGAACTACCCCCTCCTGATCCTAGAACAAGGAGGGAAGAGAGAAGGCGAGACCAACGCAGACTGAGCCGGCTACGAGGGAGGACAGTGCCCTGCCCTCTTTTGCAAGGCACAGCTGGGGACTGAGATGTAAGGAGGGTTAGGGTTAGGGAGGGGCATTTGTCAGGAACAAGTGCTGAATCTGTGGAGCACAGATTCAACACTTGTGTGCACTTGCCAATGCCTGGAGATAGCTGTACTCTGTTTTGTGGGGCTTGCCCGATTTGCCTGCTTTGCTGAACTTCTTGCCCTGGTTACTGTTTGGTTAACCTTGCTTACTGGATTACTTGCAGCCAGAGGCTTCTGAAGGTGTGTGTGAGAGCTTTGCTCCGGGACTTGTAGTGAATGTGGGGACGTTTGGGGGCACAGGTGAAGCAATAAAGGGAAGTTAGACCTGTGCTCTGGTTGTGTTGCTTTCATGTCATGCTTTCGGGTCATCACAGCTACTGAATGGAGCTGAGTGTGTTATGGCCAGATGCCCTTCCTGTCTCCATTGAGGAGTTTTATTCAGCAGATATATTCTCATTGTGCCCAGAGAGAGAAATACCTGTCTCTACCTAGGTTCGAACTCACAGCCTCCTGATTGTAGGCGAGAACTCCACCTCTAGGCCACCGCATCACTCAATGAAAGGTCCTTCGATTCCGAAATATATACTTGGCGGGAGAGAGAGACCTTGCTGGATTCTCCCCCTGAATCAACTTGGAGCCATTTTCTGGAGGGGATTTTTTTGTTATTTATTCATTAAATTTATATACCACCCATTTCATTATTGAGGGAAGTGGGCAGTTTACAACACAAAAGGCAGCCAGATTCCATGAAGAAAGAGAGTTTGGATGGTCGGAAGAAGAGGAAGGTTTTGTAGATCTGAGAGTATAGATAAAATAAGGAGTCAATCTTTATAAGAGCGAACCTTAATGAATTAAATTATTGGGGGGAATTCTTACATCCCCCTCCAGACTCACCTCTCCGTCCAATCACAGAATGTCTCTGGAGAACCCCGTAGTTGTACCGGCAGATGCCCACACGGTCCCTCACCTCCTGCAGGATGTCCTTATCTCTGTTCCAAGTGTCAGCAGACACTTGCCCCAACTCAGTGACTGCCACAAACTTCCCAAGGTTGCTGTCGAAGCGGACAAACTCCTGCCGGTCGTAGAAAAACCTGTACAGGAATTGCACCCGCTGCGTCCCGTTGAGGAAATGACACTCCATCTTCGACTGGTACAAGAAATGGGCTGCGAAGAGGAGGAAGAGGAGGAGGAAGATTGTTAAGAGGAAGTCAAGGCCCCATCGCTCCCAGCGGCGAGTAGAGGACATGCATGAGAAGAGGAAACTGGGTGAACCTTTCTTAGCCCCTCCTCTGTCTACTTTTTTGCTGGGTGGGACATGGAAGGGTCTGCAAAAAACAACAACCCCATCCCAAACCAATCTCCCATTGATGGTGGCAGGAGGAAGGCCCCCAATCCGTCCTGTGGTAGAAGCTCCAATGCCTTCCTTTGGCAGCAGTGGCCAACCCCACATGGCTGTCACTCCCTCAAGACACTAGTGGGAGAGAGCGGGAAGTCCCAGTACAGCTCCCTGGGAGATAGAGAGAGTTGCTTGGAGTCTGAGTAGGGCAAAAAGAGGAAGCAGCTTCTTGGTAAAGCTCCTCCATCCTTAAAGAGTAGAAAAAGGCAGGCAGAAGCTCAACTGGTAGTAGAGGGGTTTAAGGCACCCTGTTATTAAGCTTATTAAGACCAGCTGCCTGCAATTACTGCAGGGTTCGAATCTCGCCAAGGCTCAAGGTTGACTCAGCCTTCCATCCTTTCTAAGGTAGGTAAATTGAGGACCCAGTTGTGGGGGCAATAAGCTGACTTTGTATAAATATACAAAAGGATGAAGGCTATTGCTGAGCACATTGTAAGCCGCCCTGAGTCTTCGGAGAAGGGCGGCATATAAGTCAAATTAAAAAAAAAAAAAAACTGGTCCAGCAGACTGCCCCACTCTCTGCAGAGAACATTGAATCCGGGTGAATCCTCTTCGCAAGAATAGTGGCGCCTCTTTGCAAGATGGGGCCTCTTCAATAGGCTAGGCTAGGCTAGGCTAGGCTAGGCTAGGCTAGGCTAGGCTAGAATAGAATAGAATAGAATAGAATAGAATAGAATAGAATAGAATAGAATAGAATAGAATAGAATAGAATAGAATATTTTTTTTATTTTAATTTGATTTATATGCCGCCCTTCTCTGGAGACTCAGGGTGGCTTACAATGCGTTAAGCAATAAGAATAGAATAGAATAGAATAGAATAGAATAGAATAGAATAGAATAGAATAGAATAGAATAGAATAGAATAGAAAATAGGAATAGAAAATAAAAAATAAAAAATAGAAAATAGAAAATAGAAAATAGAAAATAGAAAATAGGAATAGAAAATATGAATAATTTGTTGGGCATAATACCGGAGGGTTTTGATAAAGGGACCACATATTTAGTTTTTGCTAAATACTGGAAAAATGAGAACACCCCGCCAGATGAGGAAGTAATTCGAAAAAGTTTAGACTATGCTGAAATGGACAGACTAACTTTAAAAATAAAAGATAAAGAAGACACAGAATATTATTGGATATGGAATAGATTTTATGAGCAGTTAGAGACAAGAGGGAGAAATTAGAGGGAGAAAGACTACGAATGCTTAGTATTAAAAATAGAGATGGTTTATAACTACAATTATCATAATTAACAAAAGATGTAAATAAGCCAATACAAAAAGAAACTTAGTTAAAATTATTTTAACTTAGTTAATAATTTTAACTAAGTTAATAATTTGAACTTAGTTAAAATTATTATTACTGTTATTAGTTCATATGTTAATATTTACTACTGTTTTCTATGTCCTTTTTTTCTCTTGTAAATGCACTGTATTCAAAAGTGTTTATGAATAAAATTGAAAAAAATAAAAAATAGGAATAGAAAGTAGGAATAAAAATAGGAATAGAAGAGGAGAGGAGAGGAGAAGAGCTGGCTGGGGAATTCTGGGAGTTGAAGTCCACACATCGTCCAGCGGCCAAGGTTGAGAAACACTGAGTCCTATACCATTTCAGATAAGTGACTGTCTAATCTCCTTGTTTGTATCTGGGATGGGGATAATGAGGAAGATGGAAACAACATGAGACATCTGGACTGATGCTCCTGGAATCTCCCTCTCCTCAATCTCCCACCTTCTCTGGTTACCCTGAATTTTCTTCTTCTCCCCGTAATCTTCAGCCCCACAAACTGCCTTTGCATTATTTTCGGGGGTTCGGGCTTCTTTCCTGTCCCCCTCCCAAAATAGCCGCCACCCCCTCAGCAGCCCTTCAAACCATCTCAAAGGGAAGGTCTCCAGCCTCCTTCATCAAAGGGATGGTTTTGGGGAAGCAACTTAGATTCCCCACTCCCACCCCCAAATATCCTCCTACATCAGCTCCTCTAGTGGCTCTCCCCCACCCCCGCCAACCTCCAAACCTTTGACTCTGCTGTGGGGCTGCTGGATCTCTTTCCCCATTCAGAGGCTTCCCCAAGAAGGGATCCAAGCTCAATTCTTGGTTGACTTTCAAAGCCTCTAATTGGAAGTTCAGAAGCAAAACAGGAAGTTTCTCAAAATGCGAAAATACTCGTGTGCCCTTTTTCTTTATGTCTGAAAATGCCTCAATTTCCCACTTTCACTTTCTTCTTTTAATGCAAGTTAGGAGACTCCCAAGATGGGATTAAGTTGGCCCCCAAAAAAGCCCAGTCCAGCCCAACCACCAGGATTTGAGAAGAGAGATCCCAGGTTGGCTTCCTTTCCACGACCCCCCCTCCCCACCTCAGCCTCACATTTAGGGAAGAGGGGGCATTGGGGAAGAAAAAGGCAGAGACTACGTGGAGAATGTGGTTCCTTCTTGCCCTCGAAGTCTCTCCTGGGATCCCAGCCCCTTTCTGTCCCCCCTCCCACCCACATCTGGGGGTCTCTCCCAGTCTCCCTCACCCTTACCGAGAGGCTCCTTCCCACCTTCGCTTCTAGGGATCTGGGACATCAACCCCATCAGCAGCAGCAGGTGGACCCCAGCAGAGCTCATGGATGGTGCCCTCCAAGCCCTTCCAAGAGAGGGGAATCCCAGGTGCTTCCAGCCCTGGAGGTGAACTCGGTGAGTCTGGATAGGGTTTTCTCTCGAAACCAGAAGGGGAAGCACCAATGAGAATTCTTCCTTTTTGTAGCGTCATCAGTCTCCGGGCAGAGTCTCTGTTGAGATCACCCTGTAGAGGAGATAGTTCATAGCGGAGAAAGCTGGTGGGGGAATCTTTTCAGTCTTAGGGAGCTATAGCTCCACAGGTGTCCCCCGCCAGTTCCAGAAGGGATCCTCCTCCTCCTCCTTCTTGAGCCTGTTCCTATGATTCTCAGCCAGACTTTCTTTTTCTTTAGCTGAATGTAGAGGTCCTCCTGTTGAACTCCCTTGGTTGGTCGCTGCCTCTCATCCCATTTGGCCGGGATCGTCCTGAATCTCCACAGTCCTCTAATCCAGAGGTCTCCAAACATGACAGGTTTAAGACTTGTGGACGTCAACTCCCAGAATTCAAAGACGTCTCTGTGGTCATGTGGCCGGCATGACTAAATGCCAAAGGTGCACAGAGAGCAGTTACCTTCCCACAAAAGGTGGTCCCTATTTTTCTACTTGCATTTTTTACGTGCTTTCAAACTGCTAGGTTGGCAAAAACTGGGACAAGTAAAAGTAAATAGATATAATATTGGAAACTAATAATCCAGGTTTCAAAAAAATTGTTCTTTGCAATGTTTTAAAAGACAGAAGTTTGGAGCTTTGTTGGAAAAGAGAGAAGAAATGGTACCCAGCAGGCAAGGGACCTGAGAAAAAGGAATGTATGGGAAACTGGGGAGGAACCAGGCAGAAGATCCAGAAGGAGAAAGCCATCAGTTCGGAGGTCCAGCACAAGCTTTTCAGGAGCATCCAGTACAAAGTGTCTAAAGGTCCCCGAGAGATTTGCAGTCACCTTCATCACCTTTGCTGTCAGTGGCTGCAGCCAGAGAGACACACAAAGGCTCAGATGCTGGATTTGGTGATCCTGGAACAGTTCCTGGCCCTCTTGCCCCCTGAGATGGAGAGCTGGGTGCGGGAGTGTGGAGTAGAGACCACTTCCCAGGCAGTGGCTGTGGCCGAAGGCTTTCTCCTGAGCCAGGTGGGGGAAGAGAAGGAACAGGCTGAGTGGCTGGTGAGAGAACATTGTTTTGGAAATGCTAAATGAGTTTTAATATTATAAACAGTGTTTCAGTTGACTGGAGTTAACATTAGGAGGGTATATTTATATGTTGCTTGGTCTACTCTAGTTGGATGATGTTTTGGTTACCTTCTCCTAGTCAAGCATCCTTGAAGTTATGAGTAGCAATAGCAGTAGCACTTAGATTTATATACCGCCTCATAGTGCTCTACAGCCTTCTCTAAGTGGTTTACACAATCTGCATATTGCCTCCAACAATCTGGGTTCTCTTCATTTTACTCGGAAGGATGGGAGACTGAGTCAAACTTGAGCCAGTCAGGATCGAACTCCTGGCAGTGGGCAGAGCCAACGTGCAATACTGTATTTTAACCATGGCTCATAGTAGGGTAGAGTCCAGTTCTTCCCATGTGCTGTTCCCCTCATTCTCTTTCTTTGCCCCTCCTGGTACTTCAGGTCCCAGGGGAAATGACGGAGCATCTTGAGGAAGTCAGAGATCGAATACATCCTTCCCAGCAGCAGCTTTTCTGAGGGGTCTCTGAGGATGATCCAAATCCGGACACCTCAAGAAGTAAAAGAAGTGAAATTGTTTATTTATTTATTTATTTATTTTATTTATTTATTTGATTTGATTTCTATACCGCCCTACTCCCGAAGGACTCAGGGCGGTGCACAGCCAAACAATAAAACACATACATACAAAATTTAAAAGTAGAATAAAATCAAATTAAATAATTTTGGCTCCGACAAATTTAAAACCCCAAACTATTTAAAACCAATTTTAAAATTGAATGTATAAAATACTAAAAGATATTTAAAAATTAAAAATCTTTTATGAAAGAGGGAGAAAATTAGGCCAGGCCCGCCTGGTGAAATAGTAAGGTCTTTAAAGCGCGGCGGAAGGTGCGCAGATCCGGGATCCTCCGTATCTCTGGGGGGAGCTCGTTCCAGATAGTAGGTGCCCCCACAGAGAAGGCTCTCCCCCTGGGGGCCGCCAGTCAGCATTGTTTGGCTGACAGCACCCGGAAGAGCCCTCTCTATGGGAGCGTACCGGCCGGTGGGAGGCTATTGGTGGAAGTAGGCAGTCCCGCAAGTAACCAGGTCCTAAGCCATGGAGCGCTTTAAAGGTGGTAACCAAACCCTTGAAGCGCACCCGGAAGACCACCGGGAGCCAGTGCAGCTCGCGCAGGAGAGGTCTTACATGGGAACGCCATGTCGCTTCCATTACCACCCGCGCGGCCGCACTCTGAGCCAGTTGGAGCCTCCGGGTGCTCCTCAAAGGGAGCCCCATGTAGAGAGCGTTGCAATAGTCCAGGCGGGAGGTGACAAGGGCATGAGTGACCGTGCATAATGAGTCCCGATCCAGAAAGGGACGCAACTGGCGAATCAGGCGAACCTGATGAAAAATCCTCCCGGTTTGTAACATCTTTCTATGTTTTTATTAATTATGCTTGTAAAAATTCTTCTATCGCTTTTGTCTCTCTCCCAGGGAGTATCATATTGTCATTGTCATTTGTAGGATTGTCTCCTTTTTCGGGTGGACCCCAAAGAGCAGCTGAAACTCCAGACCAAGTAAGAGGAGAAACATCAGAGGTGACCTTTGTTTTTCAGGGGCTTGGTGTAGGATACTGGAGTTCAGGATGGAGAAATTTGGGTTCAAGTCACTGGTCAGCCATACTTAGCCAACCTCTGCAGTTTCAGCACCAAGAGATTCCTATTCAAAAAACTAATTCACTTTTTTTTCATCTGTGGAGATTCTCAATCATCCAGGACATGATTGTCTCAAAGGTGCTTTTCCAAAAGGCAACTGGACATTTTTGGTTTAGAATAGAATAACAGAGTTGGAAGGGACCTTGGAGGTCTTCTAGTCCAACCCCCTGCTTAGGCAGGAAACCCTACACCACTTCAGACAAATGGTTATCCAACATCTTCTTAAAAACATCTGGAGTTGGAGCATTTACAACTTCTGGAGGCAAGTTGTTCCACTGATGAATTGTTCTAACTGTCAGGAAATTTCTCCTTAGTTCTAAGTTGCTTCTTTTCTTGATTAGTTTCCATCCATTGCTTCTTGTCCTACCTTCAGGTGCTTTGGAGAATAGCTTGACTCCTTTTTATGGCAGCCCCTACTCTCATGTCTCCCCTAGTCTTTTTTTTCCCATTAAACTAGACATACCCAGTTCCTGCAACCGTTTTTCATACGGTTTAGCCTCCAGTCCCCTAATCATCTTTGTTGCTCTTCTCTGCACTCTTTCTAGAGACTCCACTTCTTTTTTGCATCATGGCGACCAAAACTGGATGCAATATTCCAAGTGTGGCCTCACCAAGGCATTATAAAGTGGTATTAACACTTCACGTGATCTTGATTCTATCCCTCATTTTATGCAGCCCAAAACTGTATTGGCTTTTTTGGCAGCTGCTGCACACGGCTGGCTCATATCTAAATGGTTGTCCACTAGGACTCCAAGATCCCACTCAGTTACTACTATTGAGCAAGGCACCACATATACTGTACCTGTGCATTTTGTTTTTCTTCCCTAAATGTAGAACCTTGCTTTTTTCACTGTTGAATTTCATTTTGTTAGATAGCGCCCAATGTCCAAGTCTGTCAAGATCCTTCTATATCTTGAGCCTATCTTCTGGAGCATTGGCTATTCCTGCCAGCTTGGTGTCATTTCAGTGGTGCGATTCAAATAATATAACAACCGGTTCTCTGCCCTAATGACCAGCTGGGTAGGTGTGGCTCAGTGGTCATATGACTGTGTGGGCGTGGCAAATTCAACATCACTCATGTCTATAGGCGAAGCGCTTTAGCTGTTACAATGTAATAAGGGTTAACCAGAGAGGCAGTTTCTGTAAGCAGGGCAATAAAGATTAGACTAGAAACAACACCAGAATATTCCCTTCCTGCCTTCCTTACAGGATTAGCCCTGTAAAGTGGAAAAAAACCAAAATAAGATTTCTTTTAACAACCGGTTCTCCCGAATAGGTGCGAACTGGCTGAATCCCACCACTGTGTCATTTGCAAATTTGATGAGTTCCCCAGCTATCCCCTCGTCCAAGTCATTGATGAAGATGCTGGAGAGTCCTGGGCCTAAATCAGAGCTTTGGGGTACTCCACAGCATCCTTCCCTCCAATGTGGGAAACGTTTCACTTCTCATCCATTCTGTCTCCAGTTGAACTGAAGAATGATGGGAAGTGAAATGTTTTCAAGGATAAAAAAAGAACAAAAAATGCCAGTTGCCTTTTGGAAAAACACCTTTGGGATAATGTACTTTTTCCCAAACACTTCAGAATGTCTTCTATTTACAGGAGATTCTCAATTTAGAACCACTTCCTTAGCAACCATTTTTTTTTTTTTATTTGATTTATATGCCACCCTTCTCCGGAGACTCAGGGTGGCTTACAATGCACTAAGCAATAGCCTTCATACTTTTGTATATTTATACAAAGTCAGCTTATTGCCCCCACAAACTGGGTCCTCAATTTACCTACCTTAGAAAGGATGGAAGGCTGAGTCAACCTTGAGCCTTGGAGAGATTCGAACCAGCAGTAATTGCAGGCAGCTGTGTTAATGACAGGGTGCTTAGACCACTGTGCTATCAAGGCTCCTTTGAAGTTACAATGAACCTTCCCAGGGTTACTTATGAGCCAGGTCTGAATTTCTGATGGCCGCCCCACTTCACATGTTCACCTGTTGGGCACTTGGCAACCAGCCTTTATTTATAGCTGTTTAGAGATTCCCTAGTCACAGTTTTCCGAAAACCAGCATTTATTTCACATTTTCAGCAACACTGGCCCATAGCAAACAATGGGTTCCTTTATGACCATTGCGGTTGTAAAATGGAGTTGATCGCGTGGGTGACTCGCTTCACAACCATGACTGTGATGGACAGGCTTCATTATAGCCATACGTCAAGGGCTACCTATGTGTAGATGATGTGGAATTTGGCTGCCTGTCATCTCCATATTGCCGGGCCTACATAAATCCCTTGATGAGTTCTCCCAGCATTTGAACATGGCAGGATTGGTTTCTCAGAGGACCTCAAAGTCTCAAATTGGCCTCAAAGTTGATTGGCTAAAATGTTGCCAAATACCCCCCTCCCCCCTCCCAAAAAAACCCTCTTTATTTTGCAAGCACGAGAAAAATAGCCCGTTTTTGGGATTTGTGGAGTACAGAAGAGAATCAAGATCACGTGAAGTGTTAATACCACTTTATGATGCCTTGGTAAGGGCACACTTGGAATACGGCATCCAGTTTTGGTCGCCATGATTTTAAAAATGTGGAGACTCTAGAAAGAGTGCAGAGAAGAGCAACAAAGATGATTAGGGGACTGGAGACTAAAACATGTAAAGAACAATTACTGGAATTGGGTATGTCAAGTTTAATGAAAAGAAGGACTAGGGGTGACATGATAGCAGTGTTCCGATATCTCGGAGGCTGCCCCAAAGAAGAGGGAGTCAAGTTATTCTCCAAAGTATCTGAGGGTAGAACAAGAAGCAATGGGTGGAAACTAATCAAAGAGAGAAGCAACCTAGAACTAAGGAGATATTTCCTGACAGTTAGAACAATTAATCAGTGGAATAAATTGTCTCCAGAAGTTGTGAGTGCTCAGACAATGGAGGTTTTTAAGAAGAAATTGGAGAACCATTTGTCTGAAATGGTATAGGGCCATGATGGTGAACCTATAGCACGCATGCCGAAAGTGGCACACAGTGCCATCTTTCCAGGCACGCCAGCTGTTGCCCATTGCTCTTCCGGGTTCCGGCATGCACATGCGTGCCAGCCAGCTGGTCTTTGCGCGCACATGTGCGCCAGAAACTGGAATACCAGGTGACAGGCACGTATGCGCACGCCGAAAACCAGAAGCTCAGCTTCCCAGCATGTGCATGTGTGCCAGGGACCTGCTCTTCCAGTTTCTAGTGCTCCCGCATGTGCGCGCCAGAGAGCTGTTCTTCTGGTTTCCGGTGCTCCCCAAGTGTGCGCGCGCTCCCGTTTCAGCACTCGGTGCCCAAAGGTTCGCCAACACTGGTATAGGGTTTCCCGTCTAAGCAGATGGTTGGACTAGAAAACCTCCAAGATCCCTTCCAACTCTCTTATTCCGTATTCTGTATATGCAAACCCTTATTTCTTCTCTGTGAATAGGGAAACTATTTTTCTTCTTTTCAGGATCTTCAGTCCGTGGAGGAGCTGGCTGTGCATTTCTCCAAGGAGGAGTGGTCTCAGCTGGATCCCAACCAGAAAGCGCTTCATGGAGAAGTCATGCTGGAAATCTCGAGAAACGTGGCATTTCTGAGTAAGGCCTCAGCTCTGCATTCAGGTATTGAGTGGAAGCATTTAGTGGTCACATGTAACCACCTCTTTGTTAATAATACGTGGTGATAGACCTCGCCTTCTAGCTGTGAAGAGTAGAATATCTGAACTTCTCCAGCTCCAACTAAGGGACAATGTTAGCAGCTATTTGTTAAGATGTATTGTGTGACTACCATACTTCTTGTCTGATATTTCAGATTGTTCTCATTGGTTAATTCTTTACTTTCTTTTTAGTCCCGTCAGTAACAGACTATTATCCTAACTTTAGATCTCAGTGATATTGGTCTGACATCAACTCTCCTTAACCACTCCTTTTCATAAGCCAGAGACACCCATTTGTCTAATGAAGTACTGGTGCCTTTTCAACCAGTCTGTTGGATTCATGCCCCTTTTTTCCTTTTCTTTGATCTTTTACTCTGTAATTGTAGATTTTGGTGTTCTGTGGCAGGGTTTCCCTGGGCAAAGATGTAATTTTGAGCTAATCAATCAACTAAGGTAATTCTTTTTCTAACAACCATGTTGGCTGTCCCAAAAGGAGGAAGAATAGCAGATGGGTCAAACAGTAACAGTAACAGAGTTGGAGAGATAGGATAAGTAGGAACAAATAAAATACAGTTTGGAAAATTTTAAAAAAAGTGTTTCTTATGTTCGAATCACTTAATTGGCACTGCTAAAATAAACGTTTGTTTCCTGTTTTTCACTCCACTTAATTCCTCCAGTGATTTGATAAGAATCTACATAGAGAAAGAAATAAAGGCAACAGGTTTCTCCTGCTCAGAAAGCAGAAAATATTCCTTTCTAGTCCATAATATTTTAGACATATGAATTTGATCATATGAAGCTTTAGATTTTTTTACATTGATCAATAGAACAGCCTTTAAAAATACTATTGTCTTGAACATTACCAGCAAAAAATTAACAATTGCTTCCTATATTTTCTTTTTTTAATAAGTTTTTTTATTTTATAGGCAAACATACAATACTTAATTAAACAGTGTATCAGTACATCTTTTGTGTCTTCTTCTTCCTACTCCTCTACTATTTATCATATCTTAATCTTATCATTTCATTTATTATAACATTTCTCCCACATTTTTTGCTTTTCTGTTAATACATTTATCTATCTTCTCCTTACCACATTACCCTATATGTATCTCTTCTCTAACCAATGATAAAATTGTCCCCATACCTTAAAATATTCCGATTCCTCTTTTTCTTTAATTGTCAAAGTCAATCTATTCATTTATGCACAATCCAATATTTTTCTCCCTCTGTAGGGATTTTCTCTGTTTTCCATCTTTGCGCAAATACTATCCTTCTTCCTATATTTTCTTGATTAATTTCACACGATTTTCATTCTCTTTCTTTTTTTTTTCTCAAGATGTTAATGGACGGGTTAATGGAAATGACAAGGAACCATGCCAAGCAATCAGTCAGAAGGAAGGAAAAGAGAAGATTCAAATGGAACAAAACCATGAGGGAGAAAACTTCATTTTTCAGGACGCTCCAGTTCAAGACTTTCTTGCTCAACAGGATAACAAAGGAGAAAAGGAGAAAAATGTTGAAATATTCAAGGACAAATCTGATTTCAATAAAGACTACAGAATTCACTTCAGAGAACAGCAGTACCTGTATCAGGATGAACCCTCTTATACTCAGACTTTCGCTCTTACTTCATGTGGAAGAATCAAGCTGGGAGAGAAACCATGTGAAGGTATGAAACATGGAAAAACTTTTGGCAAAGAGCCTTCTCTAATACTCCATAAAAGAATCGGCTTGGGGGAGAAACCATATAAATGCAAATATTGTGGAAAGAGCTTAGGTGAGAAGAAATCTCTCATTATACATGAAAGGATCCATACAGGGGAGATGCCATATGAATGCAAGGACTGTGGAAAAAGCTTCCGTAAAAATAAGTATCTTACTATTCATAAAAGAATTCACACAGGGGAAAAGCCATACAAGTGCTTGGAGTGCGGAAAGAGTTTCTGTCACAATGGATCTCTTACTTCCCACATCAGGATCCACTTGGGAGAGAAACCGCATAAATGTATGGAGTGTGGCAAGAACTTCAGAAGCAAGAGCCACCTCATTTCTCATAGCAAAGTCCACACAGTGGAGAAGCCATATAAATGCAAAGAGTGTGGAAAAAGCTTCTGTGGAAATATGTCTCTTATTATTCATGAAAGGATCCATACAGGGGAGAAGCCATACAAATGCAAATACTGTGGTAAGAGTTTCCGTGAAAATAAATCTCTTACTGTTCATAAAAGAAGCCACACAGGGGAAATGCCATACAAATGCATAGAGTGTGGAAAAAGCTTCCGTGAGAATAAGTATCTTACTATTCATGAAAGGATCCATACAGGGGAGAAACTATATATATGTAAGGACTGTGGAAAGAGCTTCCGTGAAAATAAATCTCTTGCTATTCATAGAAGAACCCACACACGGGAGAAATCATATCAATGCATGGAGTGTGGAAGTAGTTTTTGGAGTAGTAGTTCCCTTTCTTCCCATAAAAGAATTCACACAGGGGAAAAACCATACACGTGCATGGAGTGTGAAAAAAGTTTCCGTGAAAATGGGTGTCTTACTGTTCATAAAAGAATTCATACAGGAGAAAAACCATATGAGTGCTTGGAGTGTGGAAAGAATTTCCGTCATAGTGGATCTCTTAAGTTACATAAAAGAATCCACACAGGAGAGAAGCCATTTGAATGTACTGAATGTGGAAAGATTTTCCAGAGGAAAAGTTACCTGACCTCCCATTCAAGAATCCACTCAGGTAAAAACCAGTGGTAGGATTCAAAATGTTTTACTACTGGTTCTGTGGGTGTGGCTTGGTGGGCGTGGCAGGGGAAGGATACTGTAAAATCTCCATTCCCACCCCATTCCAGGGGAAGGTTACTGCAAAATCCCCATTTCTTCCCGATCAGCTGGGACTCGGGAGGCAGAGAATAGATGGGGGCGGGGTCAGTCAGAGGTGGTTTTTACCGGTTCTCCGAACTACTCAAAATTTTCGCTACCAGTTCTCCAGAACTGATCAGAACCTGCTGAATACCACCTCTGGTAAAAACCCATGTAAATGTCACATTGACATGACTCAGTCCAGTTTGCCCCCAATTTTCTAGATGCTTCCACGTTAGCTGGATTGTGTCTACTCTAGACAAATATTAGGGAGGTCTATTTTACCATTAAAAGGACCTGCATCCCCCAATGACAATACACCTCTACAAGATAGAGATTTAGGAACACTGCTTGCAATGTAGGAAATGTGCAGGTTAAAATTCAACATATTTCCAGTCCCATTCTGTGTTGTGATGTTTCCTTCCTTTATCTAATCCTGTTAGGATTCTGTTTTATCTTTCACTGTTTTTATGGGGCAGGGGAAAGAAAACATTTGTTTTTATAAAAATTTGGAAATGGCTCAGCAAAGATATAAAGCTTTTGTGTGAGGTAATAAGCTAATGCAAACATAATTTAAGTTTCATCAAATTGTATGAGAAAAAAAGGGGGGGAGGCAGTTGGTGATAGTGAGTTGAAAAAGGGAATTTAGAAAGTTGTGCTTTAAACTTCTCATGACCTTCTTTCTTTTTATCCTAAGTACGGGATACAGAAAAAAAGGAGAATTAAAATGAGTTCCGTATGCTGACGTCACAGTCAAGGATGAACTGAGGAAAGAGACATTTGGAAATATAGTTCAGGGACCAAAACAAGTGAGAAAACTTCAAGAATATAGCAAGAAATCCTATACTTCTGAATCTGCCATAATCCAGGTTGTTGTGACCAAACAGGATCAAAAGATAATCAAAAAGGGTTTGTGTTTTTTTTTTGGTGCCTTGAATGGAAATATTCAAAGATAAATCAGACTTATGACAATGGTATAAACTTGAGATTAGGAACAATCAATGTTGATACAGAAAGCATGTAAATCAATTAAAGGAGTCATTTTGTCAATCCACACTGGAAAGGAACAATATTAATATGTAAGTGTGAAAAGAGCTTCAAAGAAAGAGTGCCTTTTCATAAAAGGAGCCACAGTGACAGGAGGTCCATAAAAATTTGTAGAAAAGAAAAAGCGCTTTCCAAGGAATGGGACAAAATATTGCCTTTCTGCAGTGTGATGTATTGGAACATAATATGAATTTTAAAAGTTTATGTATATCATTATTATTAATGAATTTAAATTAAATGGACGTGATGTGATTATTTTCTGGTGTTGTATTGCAGGGGGGCCCAACCCCCTGTCCATGGACCGGCACCAGTCCATAGTATGCCAGAAACCAGGCCACGCATACAAGCAAAATCCAATCCACGGGATACAGGCAGCATGCAAAACCACATCCCCTTGGTTCCGTGGAAAAATCTCTCTCCATGGAACCGGTCCCTGGTGCCCAAAAGGTTGGGGGCCGCTGATGTATTGTATCATCTCATTTGTCAGGTATATCAGAAGTTGCAGATGAGGCTTTGGAAGGTTTTGCAGACTCATACTTCAATTGTGCACTGGCTTGTACCAATTTTCTCAAACAATGCTCAGCAACTGTCCCTGGAAAAAGTAAAGACAAAAGAATGGGTAAAAAAAAGTCAGGATGGCAGCAATGAAGGCACAGTTGAAGTTCCACTTGCATTTTATATGTCTCACCAGTGGAACTTTTATCATGCCGGTGAAGCCGCCATCTTGAGTTTTTTCTTACTATACCCTATAGATACTTGTTAGGCTTGGTATCAAAAAATTTATTCAGGACTTGGTATAATTATTTATCAGATTTGACAATAACACAAAAGCAGGGGTGGGTTCTAAATTTTTTTACTACCGGTTCTGTGGGCGTGGCTTATTTTGTGGGTGTGGCTTGGAGGTCATGTGACTAGGTGGGCATGGCTAGCTGGTCAGTCATTTCTGGAAGGTCCTCGCACTTACGACCAGTCCTCGCACTTACGACCCGACTCATTTGTTGGCTTTTAACACTGATCAGCTGTAGGACGGCCCTTTGAAGCCCCGCAGCAAGAGTTTAAACAGTTTTTTTCCCTCTAGTCATCAGCTGGGACTCAGGAGGCAGCAATAGATTGGGGGTGGGACCAAATAAAAGGTAAGAATAACGTGGGGGGGAGGGCGGGGGGGGACAACCGGTTCGGTGACGTCATATTGTCACTGCTACCAGCTCGGCCGAACCGGACCGAACCGGAAGGAACCCACCACTGCACAAAAGTGAGCAAGACACTAATGTTTTAAAGACATACATAAAAATAAAAGACTTTCCAATAGATTTTAAAAAATCACCTGAAGATAATCCCACAACTATGAAAAAGAATCAAATTTATTTGTTATTTTTTGAAATTGAGGTTTTCCCCTCCCCTTTCTTTTCTGGTTCAAACCATAAATAAATCACCACCACCACCACCACCACACTTTTCATCCTCACATGCCGATGAGCCTCTTCAAACAAGTCTGGATTCCTGTTTTACATCTTGATTCTCTTACTTAGAACAGAAAATCTATTCTAATTTTCTCTTGAGGCATTTCTTTTAGAAGTAGAATAATTTTATTGTCACTTTAAATATACACTAATTGGCATACATTAAAATTAAATTTTGTTGCATACATTCTTTCCTTTCATAACCTCAAGCTATTTAGGCTGTTTCAATTTTTTTCAGCCTCTTCATTTGCTATTCATATTTTGGGGGAGAATTCTCAATAGACATCTATTTTTGTTGTTAGTTGCGAAGTCGTGTCTGACCCATTGCGACCCCATGTACAACGTTCCTCCAGACCTTCCTGTCCTCTGCCATCCTCTGGAGTCCATTTAAGCTCTACTGCTTAAACTCTACTGCTTCAGTGACTCCATCCAGCCACCTCGTTCTCTGTTGTCTCCTTCTTCTTTGGCCCTCAATCGATTCCAGCATTAGGCTCTTCTCCAATGAGTCCTTCCTTCTCATTAGGTGGCCAAAGTATTTGAGTTTCATCTTCAGAATCTGGCCTTCTAAAGAGCAGTCAGGGTTGATCCCTTCTAGGACTGACCGGAGTCATCTATTTAATCCTCAATAAAACTGGGTTTTTTTTTCCTACTCAGGTTAATTAAATGAGCTTTTTAAACTCATATTCCAGTTCTTGGCTGCCATCTCATTTTCTGTCCATGTTTTTTTTCCCTCAAATAATCCCACTTTTTTCTCTCAGTTCACTCCCGAAAAAGGGCCTTGTCAACAACCTTCATTTCCCAAGATTATGAATTTGCTGAGGTAATTTTTCCAAGCTGAGGTGAAAATTTTGCAGACCTCTTGTGTTTTTCAGCAGTTCATCCAGTTTAATTCCTATTTTCCTTCCACTTGTCTATTTCTTCGGACTTTTAATTCTCCTACCCCATTGCTTCACTCCATTTGAGCCACAGGCACCATTGTGGCCCAAATAGTTTTAAAAAATAAAATTCCATAACTTCTTTTCATTCTTTTTCTTTCTGCCAGGCCCTCCTCGTGCTCTTTGGGATGAATTTATTGGAATTAAAATTGTGGCGGGTTGGACATTCAGCTGCTTTGGCTGAGATTTTGGCCATTCTCAACGCCTCACAGAGTTTCTTGGGGGGGGGCATTGGACTAGGATCAGGGGTCTGCAACCTGCGGCTCTGGAGCCGCATGTGGCTCTTTCATCCCTCTGCTGTGGCTCCCTGTCACTCAAAATATGCGTCACAACCACCAATGTGTGACACCCGTCGGCACGTGATTTATTTTTTCAGACCATCTTTTTTTTCGGAGTTCAAAATCTTTTTGTAGCATGCAGAAATAAAAATGTGTTTTCTCTGTAGCAGGTCATTGATTTCATAAATGCAACACACTATAGTTTTTTTTATCCATAGCATAAAGGTTAAAAAAGATATATGCAGTGTTATCTTCATTTTAGACGTCAAAAGGGTTTTGTGGCTCCCAGTGTTTTCTTTTCTGTGGGAAACGGGTCCAAATGGCTGAGTGTTTAAGGTTGCCGAGCCCTGGGTTAGGTGACTTACAAGGCCCCTTCCAACTCTGTTATTTCTGTTATTTCTTCTGGCAGCTACAGATTCTCCACAGCACCCATTTTTAAGGCAAATCATTTTTCCTCATGCTCTTCAGATCTGAGTTTAATGTTGATTTTTAGAGCCTTCAGGTGTTTTATTTCCTTAACACTTCGGCCTTGACAGATATATTTTTATTCCTGCGCCACGTTCTGTGAGGAAAGGGACTCCACATCCCATTTCCCTCCTCCCATCATCCTGGGCCCTTCCAGCCCGCCTTTCCCAGCCAAGTCGGCTTGCGCCTGTGGCAGGACGAACCGCCCTCAAGCTTCAGCCGCGAACAGAGCATGCGCGGATCCTTTTGGCCGGCGGAGGACGCGTTGCATGCTGGGAAGGGGATGGGAGGGGGCGGGGCGGGGCTGGCTTCTCCAGGGCTTCGCGGTCCTCCAACCGAGCCATCGTCAAGGGGGAGGTTTTGCGGGGAGGGGGCGCTGCCTGGTGAGTGCGGGGCTCTTTTTAGGGGAATCCTCCTGCTGGGATTGCAAAGATCTTTTGCAAAGGCTTCAGCCCAGCTTCAATCTTTGGAATTCTGGCGGTGGTGGTGTGGGGGGGGGAGTCCCTGGCCCCATGTTCCCCCGCCGCCCTTTGCATGCACAATTGCACATGCCAAGCAGAGGGGGAAGCGGAGTTCCAAGCCAGCTGTGTTGCCCCCAGGAGCAAACCCAGCATCTCCAGCCAGGAGGATCTGGGGGGGGGAGTCCTGGAAACCCCCCTTTTCCTGAGTAGGGGGAGAAGAAGGAGTTTGCATTGCAAGACCCAAGCTGGAAAAAAAGGTTTTCCAAGAAGGGAGAAGCCAGTGTGGTTGCCTGGGTGCATTTGCACAATCTGCTTGGTGAGTGTGCGTCAATTGTGCTTCGGAATCCATCCGTGGTCCTAGGAGGCTGACTGACCTAGGACGTCATGTTCAGACAATGTTGGTCAACCTGAAGCTTATTAAAAGAGCCAGCCA